TCGTTCGATCCTGACACGCAAGTGGTGGAAGACTACTGTGTAAGAAGTTCTTTTCAATCTGTTATATGTATTTGTTTCTGGACTCGACGTCGGCTTGTCTGTTCTCTACAGTGGGGTTTTGTAAGAAGGTTCTGTGTGTCTTGATCTTCTGCTGGCGAGCAGTGTCACACGATTTTTTAAACCAGCCTTTGGATCCTGGTTTAGACACTTTCACTGTGTGAGCGATGTATTCCTCCATTCCGACGTGGATAATTTCGGTTATCGAAGAACAGGCAGGTCCGAGGTAGAGGGATAAAGACAGCAAATAAATTTGGGTTATGTTTTGGAGTTGAGGCGAAACCACAAAATGTCGTTTCGGTCTGATTCCAAAGAAACATCTCTGGAGCAGGAAAGACTGCTGCGGACAAAAGCCACAACTCCCCCGTTCTTTCTCAGATCGGAGTGCACCTCGTAATGTGGGAAGTTAAGATGGTTAGTCGGTGAATACTCCGAGATTTTCGTCTCCGCCAAGGAAAGCATGGCGGGGCGATTGGATCGCAGGTAGTGATGAACAGCATCAATTTTATCTTTGATGTTGTTCCCTCGAGCCCACCCTCCACCCGGACATTCCGAGACTGGAGTGAGTTTACGTCCGGAATTCTTAGTGCTCGAGGGATCCATCATCATTCAAATATTTGTTCTGGAAGACAACCGACTGCAAAGCCTGGGAAAAGCTGGCGGGTGGTACCGCCTCGGTCGACTGGTCCTTGTCTACCACCTTCTATGTAATTAGTGTGTAACGTGTAACGTAATTCATCAAAAGCACATAAATAATCACAACAAAGCTAATACATTCACCCAAAATTACGGAAAAGACCCACCACCATACCATATTATTGTGATACATCAAATGCATCATACCACTCAAACCGCAAAATAAAAGAAAAATATACTTTCTGGAATTTCCCATTTCCTCGATATGTACTGATGGCATCAGTTTGCTGACTTGGTATATCCTTATGAATATCTTACGCTCTTTGAAAAAATTATAAACTACGTTTGCGTTTTCTTTGGATTTTTGCAGAGTTCTCAACAGTTGACCCATGCCTGTATTCACGACACTGCATTGTCCCAGTTGTGTACATTTCACGACTTCTTGAAATGGTCTATCAGAATAATACGCGATAAAATATGAGCCATTTAGATTTAGAAAATACAACTTTGTAATGTGGTTAAAATTTGATGCTTACATATTTTTGAAATATTTTTAGATCCGATATACATCGAACATTCGTGCTTTTTTATTTTTCGTCTAAAGGCGACGTACCTTCCACCGCTCTGTATAGTATAGCTTGCAGTTTTTCGAAATAGAAAATACCGATTATTCACAAAAGTCGATTTATATTGAAAAGAGAAAAATCGATTCTTTGGAAATCGATTTTTTTATTCAATGTGACGTACCTACCAAAAATTTGGCGTCAGTATATTGATTGCACTTCCCACGCAACGATGCCATCAGTTCATAAACGATCATGTTCTGCACAATTTTGCCCTTTTGAGGAAAAAGTTAGCTGCGACAATGTATAACAGAAATAATAAATGGAACACGTCAGTCAGCCATGCCCATGCAATAAGTCCATAGCCTCCATCCATTTGACAACGTTGCGAACTAGAGATTTCTCCCCTGCCCTACCGACAAACAGTAGTCTAGAACACACAAAAAGCTGACAAATAATACAACTTCTGCAGCAGTCTCACAAAATTAGGAACAGAAGGGTTTTTGAGATCGCTGATTTCAAATCTGCTGTCAAAAAACAGCATGGCATCGGGTCCTTGAAATAAGTTGATATTATTATGTTTAATAGGAGATAGGACCATTATAATATTATATGATTGTCGAATAAGAAGGATTCTTTTAAAAACTGTCACGTGCCAAAATCACGTAACCTTTTTTTTACTATTTATCACTTATCCGTAATTTGAATTTCTCTTCATTGATAATAGAGTGCCCATTCCTAGGCCAAACACTTTTCAATGATTTTCTTTTGGCAAATTTAATAGTTTATTGATTGTACAATTTCACTCGTATTATATGTTTTTTCTCAGCGATTCAGTATGGTGTTGACGATCAGCAAAAAACATATTTTCTTCAAGGCCACTCAAGATGCTTTCTTCTAGAACGTTACGTGTTCTGCGTGATTCGCTTTTCTGTTTCCGTTGAGGTCGTGGTGCAGGGGTCGTTTTGTCATTTTCCGAACTCTGGGATATTAGGTCCCAAGCGCCAATTTATGGACTGGCACCCTTTTTTGTGTAACTTAAGTTTAGTCATTTTGGTTTGGGTACTACGACTTCCATTCCCTCAGCGGTAAGTTCTTTTTTATATAGCTTCCGACCACGTGCCTTGATGACGTTCGTTCAATATCTGCTATCTTTTAGTCAATAGAAACAGAAGACAATCATCATCCTTTTTCCTCCAGTTGGTTGCATCTTGTTGCAGTTTTGCAAATTGGTGGAAACCATCCCCTTGAAAAAAAAACCTGATGTGAACAGTTAAAATGTCATTCTAATTAAAAATTTCATAGATCTTTATACATTGATTATTGCTTATTGAAATTCTTAGAGACTTCTTGATTTTATTGGACATTCTACGTATTCAAATATGGGGGCAGTGCCTACATGACACCTTCTATTACATTAATCATGATTTTGATTTTTAAGCTGCCATAACTTTTCAGAACAAGGGTATATTAGTTTAGTACAGTTTTATCTCAGACAGAGAGTAGAGTAGATTTTTAAACAGTCTTTCTCTCTCTAGAGTTTTTTTTTTCTTTACTACCATAATTTTTGGCAACGAGGCAAGTGACGTGCCCACTACTGGCCACTTTTTGACCAGAGTTGAGGACATCTCGGTCGCGCCTGACAAAGAAGACCTACAGATATCTCGAAAAATAATTTTGTCAGGTTGTATTTAAGATTTATAACATCCTTTCTTTTTTTTAATTACTCGCACTCCAGTAGTGGAGCACATGTGCGTATTTTTATTAATCAATATATTGTGATTCATTTAATATCTTATTTTGTTTGGCTCTCTCTGTGTGTACCGTTACTTAAATTTCGTCATCTCTGTTAGATTATCCTTTTGTGTGGTGGTCAAGCAAAACAAGTTCCGACTAACATCTCGGGGAGTTGTGGCTTAATCCGTCCTAAGTCACTGGCGCTCCTCTCCGCTTTGTTGAGCTAGGTCCTAAATTTGCACGCCACTAGACAACTGTTTTGTTTGGACCAAGTTAGATAGTATTTATCATTGTGTTTTATTAATTAACCAAAAAAAGGCGTGGCAAAACACAGAAATATTATATCAAGCACAAGAAAATAAAATATGACTAGAGCACTACAGAAAGTGATGTCTGAAAGACGAATCCGAGGCTAAATAGATCTTCGATTAATTTTGCAGTTTTTTTGTTTTTTCAGAAGTAGCGTAACTAGATTTTGGTCGACCTTCAGTGACTGATTATCTTAGGCTCATTTCCCATGTAAATTTTATAATATTTGATGTTTCTTTACTTTCACATGTGGTCGCTAGAGGGCTTTTTTCAACATTCCGACAGAAATGGTTAATTTTCTCAAAAAAAGAATAAATGTATTGTATGAGTTTTTTATGAAAAAGTATCTAAATGATGTCTAAACGAAAACCGCATTTCGATATCTTGTCCGTATCCTAAAATTTAGGCCAAAGAAGATTTTATACAGAGAGCCCTTAAAGTTTTATTTTTTCAAACTAATGTTTCCGGAATTCTTTTTTATATAACTAAGTATCAACTTTCAGATACATGATGAATATCATCTATTTCCATTACTTAATGTTTTGCCAGCTTTTTGGATGTTCTAGACCAAGTGTCCTACAGGGCGCCACGGCTGTTATACAAAAAACCTATAAAACGTCAAAAAAACGACGAAATGTCATCTTGCAGACTAGGTAGTTTTTAGGGTACATCTTTGCTATATGAGAAAATTATTACTGAATATACTGCCAATAAAGTATATCTACTAGCTGTGCCGACGGGTTATTCATAACATATGTTGTCGTTTCTGAAGACAGGTTATGTTCAAAGTTATAAATTACGATTTATGTTTTTTGTGTTTTAAAAAATTTTGAGGAGCATTACGGAAAATCGCCACCGCGCCCGCATCACACTTCAAACATTTTCGCAGTGCCTCAGATCTAGGCGCTGGTTTGTATTTTCTATTGACATCGCAAAATAAATTTCTATAAGATTTAAGCGACTGGAAGTATAGATAATGTAATAACCTTTTCACTTTTCACATAAATATTCCTGTTACTACACCAACTAGGGATTTACGTTTCGTATCTCTCTCATTTCTGATATGGATGCGCAACTAATTTCTAGCTTTGAATATCAAGTAAGTGTATTTGAAACAAAAAATACCAATGGAATTATCATCAACAAGTATTATAGCACGCAAAACCTCACTATGCACCTATGCACTGGCATTTCCTCCCAGCTACAGTATACAACTTATAGCTTAGACCTCCAATATTGGCATCTCTGAAGGAGATATTACATCACATCAAAGCCAAACATTGATAACTGATGAAGCATCATGTAGTTTAGGCAACACGTACAACTACAAAACGAGTTCACAACAAGTGTTCACCAGCTAGAGCTAAGTTAATAACGTAATAGCCGTGCCGACCATCTGACTGCGTTGCTATGACTAAGCTCGCCAATCGCCAATCACCTGTCGGTCAAACATCGGTCGGACGCCGGCGCAGGTATATCCAGAGATGCGTGTGTTTGCAATATTTCCCTATTATTATAAGTTTTGAGGACCAATGTACGGAAAAATCTATGTGTAAAAATTACTAACACTAAAAAATTGAGATAAATTAACTGATTTCATGAATTTCCCGGGACTACAATACTTCCTAGCTAGTTGGGTCGTACGTAAAATATTCGATGTAACCTTACTATTATGAACATTTCTTTTTATTATTTCAGGAAGTCTCGCGATCAGTACTACACCCCAAAGAACGTTGTTGGCGTTGAGACAGAGCAAGATTCAACAGACAAGCCGACGTATTATCCTCCTAGTCACTGGTCGACCGAATACGCCAGATCTGCGACGACAGCGAGGTCAATACAACGAGAAGAAGTTTCGACTCATAACGAAAAAAACTATAATATTCCCAAGAAACTGAGCGGCAAGAAGTTGGCAAAGGCTATTGATTTCAATTCTGCTAGAAATGGTAAGCTGATGTTTCCAAATCAAGAACTTTCATTAGCATATTTCTAAAAAATTCTACTTTTATTAACTTATTATATAAATGATATCACTGACATTTTAGAACACTACAAAATTCAAATATGTTCGGGTGCTGCATTGGTATACAGGGTGATTCACAAGTCGGGACCAAAAATGAAACATCATACACAGGACCGCATTTTAAGAGAGGTCTTCTATGTAATATTTGTTCCTCGATGGCTGTTGAAGTTTAAAAATAAAAAACCTAAATATTGTCCACATTCAAAAGTCTTTACTTAAAATTAACGTGCACCAGTCGCGGAGATGTGGGGGATTAGTGGCATTATTTTTAAAATAAAAATAGCACGCTGCTGTTTTTTTTTTTTCGAAACGCGCACTTTTTCGAATTTTATTTTGAATTTGCTACAAATATTTACTCGTGTTTTTTTCGTAGAGTGCATGGTTTTCGTAAAAATAAAAAAAAACAAAATAGATAATCAATAAATGTTCAAAAAGACCACCATTCTGACTGATACAAGTAATATAATACAATAAATAAAAACGTATTTCTACAAGATTTGTTGTAGCTTGAATTTGATGAAACGCATTATCTATTTTTTCTTGTAACTGATCAACAGTATTCATTTGTTCAGGATGCACTAGTTCCAAAAATAAATCCAGGGGGTTCAAATCAGGAGACCTAGGTCAATGTACGGGTACGTTTCTGCCAATCGATCGTTGTCTAAAATAATTATTTAACCATGCGGTTATGTCACGACAAACATGCGGTGGAACCCCGTCGTGCTGATACGAGGGATGTCTTTTAAGTTTTGCATATGGAAATAAAACAACACGGTAGGTAGTTTTGAATGACTTTATTGTTTTTCGAAGTATACTCCACGAAAATTAATACACATCTGTCTTCGCTCGAACCAATTTTCGAAGCACTTATTCCACTCGTTTGCTGGCAGATCCAAAACGGCATTTTTGAATGCGTCAACTGCTTCTTCTGGTGACTGGAACGTTTGACCACGCAGTCTGTTTTTAATTTTCGGGAAATTAAAGAAATCTGTAGGACTTAGATCGGGACTATATGGAGGATGGTCCAATAACTCCACGTTTTCTTCCGTTAAATACTGCTTTGTTTTTTGGGCTGTGTGCGAGCTTGCATTGTCTTGGTGGAGGATGATTCTTCTTTCGGGGTTGATTTTTCGAAGCTCGGTGATGACTTTTGGCAAACAAATGGTGGTATACCAATCCGCAGTAACAGTTCTTTGCTCATTAAGAGGAATTGTTGCAATATGACTCGCTTTTGACAAAAATGTCGCGACCATCTTTTTCGAAACACTTCGAGAACGGATGACTTTTGTTTGTTTTTCTTCACCTTGGAACACCCAAATAGCCGACTGTCATTTATTTTCTAGTTCATAACAGTAAATCCACGATTCATCACCACTAACAATGCTGTACACATTTTTTGAGTTTCCGGAATTGAAACAGTCAAGCGTGTTTTGACACCAATTAACCCTGGCTGCTTTATGCTCTTCAGTCAACGGGTAGGGTATCCAACGAGAAACTAATTTTCTTACTCCTAATTCTTCATCTAAAATTTTTTGAATTCAAGTATTTGAGATCTTCAAGGATGCTTCAATCTTGCGATATGTCACATGTCTATCTTCAATGATGAGTTTGCGCACAGCATCGACGTTTTCCTGGGTGACTGCCGTTTTTGGTGGACCCACCCTGGGATCGTCGCTAAGACTCACCCGTCCACGTTTGAATTCTCCATACCAACGGGAAATTGTCGTCTGATGTGGCGCTTCGTTGCCGGAAACAGACAGTAACTCAGCAAGGCATTCTTGTTGCCATAATTGTCTCTGAAAGTTGTAATAAATTATGGCGCGAAAGTGTTCTCGGTTGAGTTCCATTTTTCTAATGACTTGTTGACACTTGAAAATTCACTGTAGTGAGAACACTACACGTATTGTCGTGAAACTTTGAATTTAAGTTTACTAAAGAGTGAGGTTAAGATTCAGTACTGACGTTCGATCCGCGCGGCCTACTATGTTTCTATATGCAAAACTTAAAAGACATCCCTCGTACCACATTCATACTCTCGTTAATAAAGGAACATCATCTGAAACATTTTCTATGTAATTCTCTAGAAAAGCTTGCATTTAAACGTTTTGGCCATACGTACATAAACAGTTGGCCATTGAAAATGCCGCACCAGACATTTCTAGAAAATCTGTGTTGAACCGAGTGGAACCTATAAGTGGAACCACTCCTCGCTAACAGCGATTCATCTGACCACTAAACCAAATCAATAAAATCCACCACTCACAAAAATTTCACCGTTGCACTTCGTCGCCGGGTTGCAGACATTGCCGATGGCAAGGATGTAAAACTTCTCGATTTAAAATTCTCCACGCAAGACTTTGGGAACAATGTAACTGGGCTGCAATCCACCTATACCCCATTCGTAGTCCATTTACGTCCAGAAAAAGCACAACATGCCCAAAAGCAAGATTGTACAGCTCCGGATTTTCCTCAATGGTCTTGGAATAATCTAACAAAATAAATTATTATTGTTATAGAATTCTTTATTCGCTGGAAGTACTTGAATCATGGTCCGAATGGTTAATATTAATTATTACAGGTTCAATTTGAATATCGATCATATTATCCAGATCCCTGATCTTTGTTTGGATTGTCTCTTGAACGTGACGGATGCAATCGTTCCAATGGTTTGCCGTCACTCTGTTGACAGCTTCATAAAAAAAAATTTCACGCCAGAAAATTTGAATGTTCTACTGTTTGAAGCCACTTAGTTTTTTTATATTTACCCAAATCATTTCAATGGGATTTAATTCGCAGTGATAAGCCTTACACCGTGTGGTATAGACAATTTTTTGTTTTTTATATTCTTTAACAATGTTGAAAATAGTCGTAGGACATAAGCCTGTTTTGAACGCCACACGTCTTTCAATGTCATGAATTTTCATTTCAGGATGCTCAAAAATTTTGCTCTTATAAACGTTAAGGGCAATTTATTTTACCTGAATATTCGAATGTCCCTTCTTGTCACGTTTTCGGGAAGGAGGGGTCACTGAAGCGGAAGCATGGCTGAATGCAGCATTGGGAGAAATATTCTCAGTTTCATCTGCTGTATCCGTAGACGACATGCTAACGTATAAACATACGTTATATATGCGTCGAATATGAACAGTACCTGCCGGCGTCGGCGTGCCGGCGATACCCCGAGACTGAGTTCTATCCTGTCGAATCCTACACTTGTTCGCAGTTTTATGGCCGACCGTTTAGGCGGCTGCTACTTTACCGCGCTGTATCATTGTTGTGCCGGGGCGTAAATGGACTACGAATTTTGTATAGTAGTTGCACTAGGATCATCCAACGCCAAATTAATCACTTCCAGTTCCAGTTGAACAGTATGCCGGATACCATGGTCTCTAAGTCCGAGAAATGAAGCGTGAAAACGTGTGGGGTAGGTTGGCGTCTGTTAGGAAATCTACATTGATACTTCCGAGAATCCGCTAAAGTATTTCCCTTACAGAACCCGTACACAAAAAAAATATCGGCGAACTCATCATTGCATGAATGATCTAATTTGTTTTATTTTTATTTTTACGAAACCAGTGCACTCTAGGAAAAACACAAGAGTAATTATTTGTATCAAATTGAAGGTAGAATTCAAAAAATAGCGCGTTTCGAAAAAAAACAGTGGCGTACCATTTTTATTTGGAAAAATAATGGCAGTAATCCCCTGTACCTCCGCCACTGGTGCACGCTAATTTTAAGTAAAGACTTTTGAATGTGGACAATAATCAGGTAAGTTCACATACCAAATTTTACTTCATTCCAGTTGTCGATTTTGAATATTTTTAAAAAATATTTTTTATTTTTAAACTTCAAGACCTCCCGGAAAAAATGAGGTCCTGTATATGATGTTTCATTTTTTGGTCACGACTTGTGAATCACCCTGTGTATAACACAAGCACATTTGGACACTGCTTTAGAACCCTTAAATGACGATATTACAGAAATTATGTTAATAACTCCTGTTTCTAAAGTTAACAATTCTGAGTTGTACACCAATATGCGGCAAATAAATGTTCTGCCGGTTGTTGAAAAAGTTTTTGAAGAAATTCAATAATTCATTTGAATTCGCAGTACATTTCCTATCATGTGATAAATTCTTTAGTTTGATTTTATTAAAAAATGGCACAATTTATCGATATTCAATAATAGTACCTTTTTTATGTTGAAAAATTCTAAAATTTAATTTCAAAAATAGAATCACACAAAAATTTTGGAGCTAAAATAACCTGAGTCCGTCCCTGTTACACGCTTCCAAACAAAACTCTCTAAAATTGTTAATATTTTTAAATCCAGCATAAAAAACTAGGCTAGAATACCAAATTTTATGTCTTTATCTCAACACGTTTCGGAAATATTAAGGAAAAATCATCTTCAGCTGAGCCCCTTTAAAAGACCGTAGCGCCCTTAAGGGACGTTTGTCGACCTATGCTTATATAAACTTTTCTTCCTATTTTAAGCTCTAGAAACCGCTGGTAGAATATTGCACACTTTTTCGGGACACCCGGTATATATTGATAGTAAACTAAAATTTGAAGATCACTATGAATACATTATTTCAAAAATTGTCAAAAAAACGAATTACTTTTATAGGGCTTCTCATACTCTTGGTACCTATTCCAAGAAAATAGTTTACAATACAATTGTTTTACCGCATTTGCTATATTGATCAACTATCTTGTTCACTGCCAATGAAGCTGTATTCTCAAAATTACAAGTCTTGCAAAATAAAGCCATGAGAATAATATTGAATAAAAATAAGTACACCAAAATAAAATCTATGTTGCAAGAATTGCAATGGTTGAATATAAAAAATTTCATATCATATTTGGTTCTTATTTTTATATTTAAAATAAAAAATCATCTTTTGCCACAACATTCAGAACACTACATAGAATTGAATAATCATTACCACAATTATTATACAAGAGGAAATATAGATTTTGATTTACAAAATTGCAATAGTAGTATAACTAGCAAATCAATATTTCAGAAAAGATTAGTTGAATTTAATAAACTAAATAATGATATAAAGTCTACTTGCAATGTAAAGATATTTAAAAGAAAATTAAAGGAATATTTCATGGACAATGAAAATTCTTAGAGATGCAAATTTTGTTTTTTTTGTATGTCTGTATGTTATGTTATTGTTTAGTTTGTTAGAAGAATGTAATTGTATCAATCATGCTAAATAAATCTTGAACAAACAAACAAACAATAAACTTAAAAACTGATGAAACAAAATTGTGTTTAACACCATAATTCTTCATCATTTTTTATATTGTTCAACTATTTTGTTTGCAGCAAATAGAAACATATTTTCAATATTACAAATTCTACAAAATAAAGCTATGAGATCAATTTTAAATAAAAACAAATATGCTGGTTGAATGTAAAACATTGTGTACGTTATTTTTTTAATATTAGGCAAAAAACAAAATACTACGTGGACTTTAGACCGCCCAAAGGTCAACCTGTACGGTATTCCAAATCATAGTTCAGTTGTTTTTATTTGTAGATCGATAATAATCAATTGCTTCATAAAACTACTGTCACTACTTTCAATCCTACTTACCAAAAAATTTGAATTCATAATAAAACAACACAAACTTTACGTCTGGTATACCTATACAAAAAAATTATGTCACCACATTAAGATCGACATTCACGATCACTCTAAGTAGCTAGTCGAGCTTGTTGGACGTTACTCCATTTTTCAGGTTTCCATATCGGAATGCGTAAATCAGTGCTTCAATATGCTGAAAGGATGTTTTCTTTTTGCTTCCAGGAAATAACTTCGCAGACGTTCCATCAAAACCTCAGCCATCCTTCCAAGCAAATACTCCACAACAAAACTACAAATCCACTTACAGAGCCACCACTCCAGTCTACCCTTCAACCGCCCCTACAACTGCATCTATAAAGGACAACATCGGGCTAGCTCCACCGATACCTTATCAGCACGTGGATAAGCACAATAATGATCCACAACCACAGGTATTTTTATTTTATTCCTGAAACTTTGTTCTTTATTCACTACGTTTATATCGATTAGGATTTGGAAAACTGATATGGGGCGGTTGTGTCGTGCAGGATTGGGTCTAGGATCATCTACTTTCAACCCTTAACAAGATGAGTGAGATTTTTTTGGTGTGGAGTTGCCCAACAAAACTGCTGAAATTGGATTAAAGTGCTTATAATTAAAAAGCTAAATCCAAATCTTAAATCAATTCCACTTATTTGAAGGATGGACTCATCCTGATAAGATGATGATCCTAAGTATTTATATCAGGAATTTTCACTCGTAATATAATAAACGTAGTGATTTAGACAAGGATGTATGCAAATAGAACGTGGAAAATCAATCCCCCATGTCTGTCTGGCCGAATCAAAACCACATATGCTTAAAATTCCTTTTTATTGTACGACCTTTCAGTCCCACCGGTGACCTTCTTCAAATACACTTTTTTGACAATAAGCATAAGTTTTAGATGTTACAGAAAATGGATGTGAGAAATTCCTCTAAATTGTTGAGCGTCCTCTGTGGAGGTACAGCTCGCTAAAGTACGCCACTGAATGTGTTTTTACATAATATTCAGAGGGTCTGGACATGTAAAAAATGGATTTTTAGACTCAAAACAAGTCGATTGGACATGATTTACCTCTATGCAAAAGTGCTTCGTTTGTTTGTTAGAAGCCGTCAAAGTTTTCTTTTTAAAACACATTTTTTGAGATACTTTGAGAACCGATAGTCCGATTTTAATAAAATCATATGTTTTGCTATACGTCCTAATATTTGACGGAAAACTCTAATAAGAGACAGTAGATGAAGTAAATATAAGGGTCTTTGGAACTAGTTCGCGAGAGAACTATTTTACACAAGAATAATGTCAGTAAAAGCGTCGCCTCTCAGTTTAACATTCGATAACCGGAGTTAGGCAGCGCCGAGTGCGGTTAGTATTTAGATGGATAGCAGCTTCAAAACATGTCGTATTGTTTTGTTTTTTGCATTCCATTTTTTTTTTATTTTAGAATGTAGATATAGCTGTGATATTAGGTACACGTTTCCTAACAATCTCAAATAATGTGAGCTTTTATTTTTTTTATTTCGCCAGTTCAGGAGGTTTTCAATAAATAATACAAACTTAGACAATCCTAGGTATGTAGATATCCTCCTTTCGCGAGAACGGTTTTTTAGTATCACACAAAAGCCAAGCGGAAAATGAACTGAAGAAGAAAACAGTATCAGACCTTTTGGATGATTCCCACCTTGAGGCAAAACGTCTTTGCGCAGTTTAAAATCCAACCGCAGCAGGCATTATCCAACGGCATAAATGTTTTCATGAACCTCGTTTACCACTGAAGTGGTGCCAGGAACGAGCAAAATCTTTCCCAGATTAGTTGGGATGGTTAAAAAACGTTTGTGCCTGCCATCAGTGCCATGCGAGCGGCTTTTTTCGAAGGCTAAACAAGCAGTCGTGCCAGCAGAGATATAGATAAAGTTTTGACATTTTCTCTTTAGTGTTGTTTTAATTTCTTCATGAGCCGCATCTTTTTTATAATAGTTAGCTAATTTTTAACTTATTCTGCATTTATAGCTAACCGCATTTATCACGTTTTTCATAAATTCCAGGCAACCAGTTATACAACCTTCCTATCTCGGTCGTTCACTCACAAAAATCCTGTAATATCAGTCGTTCGTATTAAACAACTAATGTGCTTTGTCAATAACTCTTCGTTACACTGTTTAGGGGAATGTGAAAAATGACTATACCAATTCTCTTGCCTTTTGCAAGGAATGATAACCATTTAGTACTTGTTATGTGCTAACATTCCAATAAACTTTAATATGATTCTTAATTTTTTTAAAACTATTTTTTTCTACGTTAATACCTCTGATTTTCAGATTGGACCTGTCAAAAACCTGCTGGCACGAGAACATACAGCTGACAGAAAGGTTGACATAGTACCCCATCCTGGAGAACAGCAGCCAATTCGAAGAGTGAATTTCCATTCAAATTTCCGCGCCACCACGCCAGTCTATCCTTCCAAAGTAGAATTACAAGATCTGCTACAGCACCAAAAACATAAGGAAGTACAGGGAGAGGGAGTGCCGGTGAACTTCGATTCTAATTTCATAGCAACCACCCCCATGTATCCTGGTTCAGTGGAACACACTAGTCTTGATCCCCGGGAAGTAGGGTTGGTACCTCCGAAGGGGAATCCCAAACAGGACGTAGATGAGGTGAGTATCTAGAGCAGGATAATAAGCGAAAAAGACACCTGGTTCAGGATAATGGCAAAGCCTGCAGAAAATTTGATGAGGTTTTTGACTTTTTACCAATTAGATTTCCAAAATTGTACTTCTTCCATATTTTATCTCATACTGTATTTGACGCGTAGTAACAAAACGCTCTCGTAGCGCTACTTGTCTGAAGCATCTATCTTGAGGCTCTGTGGTACGCTTCGGTGGACCAGTTGGCCTTCTTCATGTTCCTCTACCTTCTTCTATCCACACAGGACACACACGAATTACCGTCATTGCAGTACAATTAATACGTCGGCCAAATTCGCGATAGGACACAAAAATAATTCTACCCCTGTCAAAGTCGCTAACATGGTGATAATTTGGACGTCTTCGAGCTCGAAGAATTTTGTTATGCTTAAAATTAGTAAATGAAAGGGCAATAACTAACAATATCTGTTCTACTCAGCTCTCAGAAACTGCTTTCTTCACAAAAACTAAGAGGTAACATTTTTAAAAAGGTGAACAAAAACAAAGATAAAGCGTTGACATTGTTGCCACATCATGCTTTAAATGTCATCATGTTGCCAAGAAAAACAAGTTGAAGACATTATTTTTTCTGGGTGTAACAATTCTAATGACACCGGGTATACAATATAAAAAGCAATAAATAAATAATGTCACGTTACTTGAACCTGGACTACCATAATTGATACCAACCTATTACATTTTCACGGCAAGTTTGTCCAGTAGCCTATTTTACTGAAAAAAGTATGTTCTGAAAATCTGTAATTGAATAAAAAAAATGACAATAGTCCAGAAAGCTCTTCGAACATCGCCCGAAAAAAATTTCTGATTCCATTTTACTGCATAGTCGTATTAAAAAATGACCTCTTTTAACGAATCTGCATGTCGATAGGCATAATATAGCGTCAAAAGTCGTTGGAACAATTTTTATAAACAAATTCCAAAAATCTTTTTTTTTTTCGCAACAAAGTTTTCCTAGTTTTTTTTTTGTCATCCTATAAAGTTTTCTCTAGGGCGCGAGTAGTTTTTTACTTTGAATAATAAAATTCCCTAATTTTTATTTATACTCGGGTACCTCGGGTTTTTCGACAGGTATTACCCGGGTTCGAAAACCCTTGGATAGCCATTTTTTTATGACATTTTGCTTGTTCTATTATTTTGGGTGATTGAGGAACGCATGATTTTATCAGTTCATATGACATCATAAGAAAGAACAGAAGTTTTTTCTGTGATTTTAATTTACACTGTTACAAAATTTTTCATAAACTCGTTAGAAAAACCACGAAACACCACAAAATCGAATCATTCTGTAAAACAAAAAATTATTTTTTATAACGAGTAGGCCATATTTTGATAGCGTGGAATATAGGAAGACTACACATCAAAGTAAATGAAAAAATAGCATAACAAGAAACCTGCTCTTCATTTTTGAACAAGCGATAGTTTAGGCGTGATCTTTTTTCTCTCACAAAATTTCACTCAAAAACCATGCTCAGAAATTCAATGGTTTTTAAAAGTACAAAGTAAAATTCTGCTTATTTTGTACTTTTACAGACCATTAAATTTCTGAAGATGGTTTAGTCTAAAATGAACCAAAACGTCTAATAAAATTTCATAACCAATGGACCGAAATACCATAAAAACAAAGAAGTCTACGGGGTACAAGATGAGGATCCTATGCAGGGGGATCTCAATATCTGTCGGAGATACAGTGTAGGTTAAACTACGAAAAAGCTGCGTTCTTTTGCGCGAATTTACATACCGTTGAGAAACTTGTAAAAATTTCATGTATTTTTTTGAGACATTTCTGAAAAACTAAAATTTGGCCTAATCATTTTTATTTTTTCTGACTTTATTTTCGTCGTTTCGTTTTTGAGAAACCATTACCAACTTTTTTTTGAAATGGTCCGAAAAAAGTACTATACTATCAATAGCATATTTTTCTACGATTTCAACGATTTATCACATGTTACATTTGTTTTCTTAGTTAAAAAGAAAAAATGTGTTTTTTCATTTTAAGTAGGTGTTGCAAACAAGTGCTAGATGTCAGATTATGTAATTACTGATAGATGCATCTTACATATTACATATGATATATTTTCAAAGTTATGCTACATCTCGTGATATTCAGAATACAGAATGAATGTTTAACATTCTTTTTATTTTATTTACATTAGGTCTTCAAATAGATTGAGATTTCTTTTCTAAACATAAATATATTCTTCTAACAGTAGAATTCAAAACAACACGTAACATTTCTGGTGTAATCATACTAAATGCTTCCATTACACATTCCCATAACTGCTGCTCAGTTTCAAAAGTATGCTGATAAACCTTGTTTTTGATAAAAACCCAAACAAAAAAGTAAAGAGGAGTTATATCCTTGGCACGCTCAGGCCGGAACTCTTCACTGGAGGTTCCAATACGCCTTCCAGGAAATCGCTGAGAAAGATTCCCTCGATCTTGCCTAGAGTTATGTGCAGGAGCACCGCATTGTTAAAACCAACAGCTATTAGCATGTGCCAAAGGTAAATTATCCTGGCAGTTTTCTAGATCATGTTGCAACAATTGAAGGTACCGTTCTACAGTTAATGAGCTGTGGTACATGAATAGACCTAACATTTCGATCCCTAGAATTCCACACCGCACATTAAACCCAAAACATTCTTGATGTCTGGATACTTTTTTAGCCCGCATATCATTTTTGAAGGGAGATTAAATTCTTCTTCACACATTCGTCTGTACCACTCACAAAAATGCTGGTGCCGTTCGCTATCCCCTGATCTTGGCAAATCCTGAATTTATAGAAGTGATATCTATTTTTACGCAAAATACAATGGGCAGTGGATTTGGCTTACTTCTAGATTTATCTCAATTTGCCTAGTTGATATCTCTGTTCTCAGCAACTGGTTGTAAAACACTATTTAGTTTTTCCAAAAATCTCATTAAGCCATGATATTTTTACAAGCTAAATACACGCCAAAGAACAGCGCTTTTTCCTAATTTATCCTAAGCTGTATCTCCCACAGATATTGTAATCCCCGTGCATAGGATCCTTATCTTGGACACCCTATACATTGGAACGGCCATCAATCAGACATTCTATACCCTCTCTTTTGACTATTCCAGAGCCTGCCGATTCGACAAGACGCAAACCCGATAACTACCGAACGAGTACGCGTAAACTTCGCATCCAACTACAAAGCGACAACACCGGTCTACCCCTCGGCCGTTGCAGCGACGAGTCCAAACCCCGAAGACACGGGATTAGTACCACCGAAAGGACATGAAGAGGAGCCAGATACTTCGAATCACCAAAACGACAACATTGACCATCTTACCAGACAAAGTCAACCTGAAGTAGTATTTCCATCAAATTTCAAAGCAACCACACCTGTCTATCCCACTGCAGTTGAAAACACAAGTCCGAATCCTTCAAATGTTGGCCTGAAGGCTCCGAAAGATAGTCAAAGTACAGATATTGAATCTGTAAATGCAGGTACACCGGTAGTTAACTTTGCTTCGAATTTCAAAGCAACAACCCCAGTGTATCCTACCAGAGTCGAAAATACTAGTCCCAATCCATCAAACGCTGGTTTAGAACCTCCAAAAGGAGGAAGCAATGACGAAACCATTGCTCAAGGTAATGAGTCAACGCAAGTAAACTTTGTCTCAAACTTTAAAGCTACCACTCCTGTCTATCCTACATTCGTAGATCCGACTAGCCCCAATCCAAACGCAATAGGGCTAAAACCTCCAAAACCCCAAACACATAACAATTTGGAAGATACTTCTAACCACCAAGACCCTGAGCTTCTGCCTCTATCTGACCTAGTGCCTCCAGCGTTTGACAAAAACTTCAAACCTGAAGAACATAAATTCGAAACGACAATTAGACCACCTTCAAAGTTCTATCAACCCCCGAAGGTTGAGCCAGCTTTTGTAGATGATCATAATGACCAACCTGAGCAAAACCTTGAAAATACTGGAATCAGGATTCTCAACTTTATGAAATCTTTTAATAATTCACAATGGCAGGATTTACGAAAGGTATTTAGAATACCCGAATTTGACCTTCCGTTAGATGAAGGTGCAGTCAGGCCTAGTTATGACAGTGCACTTAATTCGTTTGAGGCAAATAACACAAAGAAAAGATGATCATTATTATAATTTTTAAATCGATTGTCCACAAGCACTGAGTTATGACAGTGACAAAGGTCAAAGAGAGGTGAAGCAAAGTCGGTACATCTGACAATAGAAATGTATCTACAGCGCAATGCTTTTGAATGGCCAGTCAGATTAATTCTCCTAAAAAGTGTAGTCAACACTCCATTTTTAATGCGCACATTTCTGATAAGCCAGCAGACTTGTTGATTTGGACAACCGACTTCCGCTTATACTTTGACCAAATATTAGAACTCAACACAGACTTTTGAACAACAATGCACATTCATCCTTTATATACTTCTTATTTATAACCTATTTTACTGTGATATTTAAAATGTATTTACCGTTTCCTTCACACTATTTATAACCAAAGCTCAATTTTGATTTAAACATAATATAATAGTTAGATGAAAGAATATTTTTCGGAACTTCGGCAAATTATTGCAAAGTGTACTCTTGAAATTTTATTCTCAAGCTTTCGATAAGATCACACGGATTTGAAACAGTGAATTTAACAAATAGCCTCATGAATCCATTTTGCACTAATCTCAATTACAATGTAAGTACTTTAAGATCATCTTATTGAATGTAATTGCTATTTTCAAATTCATTTGTAGCTCCTGATGATATTAACATAGTATATCGAAAGCTTGAGGATAAACTTTCATGAGGACACTTTGAAATAGTGCCCCGAAAAAGATTATTCCGTCTAACTAGTTGTTGACGACAATAACTACATCCTACATAATATATATATATATATATACATATATATATATATATATATATATATATATATATATATATATATATATATATATATATATATACATACAGATACTCATATACAGTCAATTCATTTACTTTCGTTATGAAATGTAATTGTCAGGAGAGTTTTGACAAACTCGTTTCTATTGGTATCAGATAAAAGAGAAAAAAATGGAAATTAAAAGTGACTTTGAGAATGACACTATCAAAAAATGGAACCCAAAAACGAAACAGCTTTACTGAACAAGCTGTTTTTGTATTGATACAATCGGGGATACACTATATCTTCCTCAACGTTATGGACCTACGGGTCCGTTCACCAGAAATCATTTTTGCAGATTAATAGACATAAGAAAAACATTGGGTATTCCTTCTCCCAGATAACGAAAATATTATATGCACTCTTTAAATAAAATAAATATTTAATTTCGTGTTCAAATTCTGCGTCATTTCCCATTTTAATTACGTTATTATGCTAGGTCTCAAGCCATTGAGCAAGAACTTAGTTTGTGAGTCTTGGGTCAATCTCAACTTTCTCAAAAATAAAAAAATATCGAGAAGAGCAGCTACGAAATCTCAAACCAATAATATAATCCTTATAATTTTAATCTGAGCAAAGAATAAACTTTCTGTCTTGAATTTCTTCGAGTTGTGACTCTAACCTCAAAATCCTTGTACTTGTATCTTAACTATAGTCTGGTAGCAAAACCATTGGGAGTAGCAAGACACGTCGTACGCTACTGCTAACACTTTGCCATCCCTTTTGGTACCCAAGAATAGTCAGCGAAAACTCCTTTCATACGATTAATTGGACAGTGGAATAAAAATTTAAAGAAAACAAGTAAATTATGGATCTATTTACACACTAGTTCGCTTGATAACTTCTCTGTAGTGTGACGACGCAGCCCATCATGTTACCTCTACCGCACCAGTTTCAGCAGGTGTCAGGTTGATGTTGCCCCATTACAAAAATAATGACGTTAGCATATCTAAACGATCTCCTGTCTCGAAAATCCGATATTCCACTTGACTAAAGTTGCTTTTCCTGCATTTATCAGAATGGGCCTTGAAAAGAGATTAGACGCGTACATGGCAACACAACGAGTTCTAAAGGAAAATGTGAAATAACTCGGGACCAGCCATTTTTGATGGAAAAACCACTTTAGATCCTAGTTTTTGGTTACAAATGAAAGAAATGGGACTAAAACTGGGTGCAAATATGAAAATTCCGCATAAAAACTTTTGATATGAAGTGATCAAGGTATAATGACAGTTCTCAAAATTTATCTGAACAAAACATCGTTGTAACTTCCAGTACGCAGATTATAGAAATATGCTACAAATTATATATAATAATAATATTTCACATTTGCAACTTTTTTAGCATCATTCTTTTACAACCAATGCTACAACCCAAAAATACTGTCTATTGTGAAGACTGAAAAAATACAGGTACTCAAATTTAATGATGTTTTGTAGGAAGTTTGTGTCACAGATGTTTGCTTGATGAGAGCTTTTATTAAGTAACTTTGTCCGTTTGTCCTAAGCTCTTCAACGTTTTTCACATGCTGTGCTTAGATTAATTTCTTCTCTTTTTGTATAATTTGGGGTTGGAAGTTTAAATGATGTTTTACGGGTTCAAATCACATTCATTTTTGGTTCAGGTATGCAAATTACTACGTTTTGATAAGCACCACAACCTTTATAAGTACTTTTATTTGGTTTTATCTAATTTGAATGGAAAACAAGCAGAAAATTGTTATCAAAAAACCTAATTGCCAAGAATTGATAGGTTCCGAGCCCCGAATAATTATGGTCACTAAGCGGTGCTGTCATCGTGCACACAACGTACGACTAAATTTTCCCTCTGAATAAGTCAACGATGCGTCACCACTGGGAAGTATACTTTTTCATGTCAATTATCTTGCCGAACTACACAAGGCATATTTTTCTTTTCTGACTACCCAGCTTTTCTATGAATGTATAGTGAAGGAAAATAAAATATTAATATATACTTTGTAAATAACTACTTATTAAGGTTATTTATTTTTAAACCCATTATGAAAATATGCTATGTTTCAGAATGTTACAATGTCATTTCTGGTATACCGAACTTTTATAAGCAATCTGACATCCCAATCAAAATGGTTTAGGTTTGACCAACGCCAGACCAACGCAAGAACTATCATATGACAAGTATGACAAGCAAATTCTTCTATTATACAGACTTGACAGCTTGACACATGTCAGTATCGGAATGGTATGTTTGAAATGACTGAATCTGATACACGGCATATATGGTAGAATATTATTTGTACTTATTTTGAAAATAAATAATAAGACACTACCCCGTTTGTTTCTTTTTAATATGAAAATAAACGCATTAAGGTATCAACTAACTTATTCTTAAAATTAAAATAAATATTCGCTAGTCTAGACCATATTTTGATGAGGTGCTCCAAACAAAACTATACTAGTGCAAATTAACGAATTAATAACAAAATAGAAAAACCTTCTAATTACCTAAAACATTGAGAGCTGTTATAATTCCATGATATTTTCCAATAACAAATATATACAAAATTAACAACTATATAAATGAAATAAGGCACTTCAGGATAGTAAGAAAATTATTATATTCTACCTCATGTTGTAAATCTTCTGGGAAACCGGGCTTGGTGCCAAATGCTTTAATACTTTCGGCATGTGCTGTAGTTTTTCCATGATTATCCTCGGTAACACCTGCAACATGAAAGCTATAACTAGGGTGAAGAGACATACGCCCTGTAAAATCAAATCTATTCTGTCATATGTATGAGCTGCATATTAAAACCACATGTTCATTGCTAATGTAGCCGGTATATTTTTGATAATTTTCATGTAAAATATGATGACACAAGTGCTTTTTTAACCAACTGCAGCTTAAAGATGATATAAAAATTAGCCGTTTTCATATGCATGTCAACAACTGTATTGAATCGGAACGCTTATCAGGGGGCATAGAATTCAAATATGATATGATAAGCAAATACTTTATACAAGATGTTTTCAAAGTTGAGTCATTAATTTTAACTGCTTGTCGGACTCGTCAAAAGGAGTTGATACCAAAAATCACCTGTATAATAGTTACATAATAAAAGAAATAGTAAAAGAATGTTTTAAAAAATAAGAATGTTATTATACAGATTTTTTTATGATCTCGACCACTGCGGCGTAAAATCTTAGCGTTTTTCATTTACTACTATTATAGTTTATCTACATTTGGCAAACTTTTCGTGTTATTGTTTGGTTTTCAGTACGAGTATTTGGTTCGATCCGTTGTATCAGTCTTTTAATAGTGCGTATACTTTCATTTGTCTGATTATTTTGTGCGAAAAAGTGGCCCATGTTTACGAAAACAACTAGTGGACATAATACTAACATACGAGAGTGCCAGCATAATACAGCTGCAGCATGCAGTTTATATGCGGAAAGGTTTCCTTTAAGAAATCATCCGGCCTCACGAATGTTTGTAAATTTCGTTATTAGACTTCGTGACACAGGATATTTAAAAGAACAACGAGGAGGTTGTGCAGGTCTTCCTGAACTGTTACAAATTGAAGAAGAAATTTTAAAAAAGGTCGAAGGCGACCCAACAAGGGGTACTAGAACCATAGCAGCTCAAGTTAAAGTTTCTCACAATAAAGTGTAGAAGATGATACGACAAGAACAGTACTATCAATGGGTACAAGCGTTACAACCTGATGATCATCCTAGAAGAGTTGCTGGTTTATTTCTTCGACACAATGATACACAACTATTGAAAGATGTTCCTCTAAATGTGAGGCAGAATATGTGGTTCCTACATGATGGGGCTCCACCACATTTTAGACGAGAAGTTCATGAACATCTAAATAATTAGTTTCCGAATAGATGGATAGGGCGCAATGGACCCATTTCTTGGCCTGCTCGCTCGTGGGATTTAACGCCTTGCGATTTTTGTTCTGTGGGGCTATTTGAAAGAGTTGGAGTATCTCGATGGAGCAGTAAATACTCTGAAAGAACTTCAACAGCGCACTGAAAATGCTTGTAATCCAATTCGCGGACAGCAGAATTTTATTTTAGAGTCTTGTAAGAGCCGTGGATTAGCCGGTCAAGATTTTGCGTTAATCGAACAAATGGGCACAATTTTGAACATTTTTTGTAAAAACGGTATCCATTTGACTTGATAATGATTTTTTTTAAGTAATTTTTAATAATGTCAACTAACTCTCTTACTATGCAACTTTCATATAGGTGATTTTTGGTATATCAACTCCTTTTGACGAGTTCTACAAGCTGTTAAAATAAACGACTCAACTTTAAAAACACCCTGTATTTTGGCAACAATATCAGCATTTCTCATATTGCAGCTATACAGGGTGTATCAGATGAACCCCTATATGTGTGGTCCGAAATTTTATAGTTCCGGAGTTATTTGCAATTTTGTGAAATTTCGAAAAAAATGGGATAATGAACTTTCAATCGCAATTAGAACTAAACCATTACGTTTAGGGCTGTGATTGCTTTTTTTGAGATGAGCTAAATGGTTATTTTTAGCAACTGTTATGTCACTTTTTAACAGAGCTAATTAGAAATCAACGCAAAAAATCTTAAATTCATTTTTTAGTGAAAAATCTCCTCCATCCTTCAACTTTACAGTGCGGTAAAAAAACTGAGGTGTTATTCCATTATTCATTTTATTGTAAAAAATATTTCAATCCATGTAGAATAAACCTTGAAAATCTCAGCTTGCTACGATGAGTGTATCATGTCACATTCGTTGTTGTGTTGCGATAAACGTAAGAAACGCAATATAATCCTTACCACCTACAAGTACAGAACCGATTGTGTTTAGGTGCTCTTTATGGCGATGTACCGACAAATGTGGAAGATAATTTAATTTAACTAACTATACATGTAAACAAGAAATTCTATTTTACGAGTTACAGTCCAACCGACTTGATGGATTTTGACGTATGAAGTACTGTTAGATTCGTCCTAGCAGTGCGAGTGATACTGTGTATATAAATCAAAATGGCGGATTTTTTACGCAAATAGCCAAATCAGCTTGGGCATTAAACTCGGCATTCCAGGTGCGGGAGCGTTCCTTCTTCGGTCCGACCGAAATTATTAAGTCAGGCAATGGTCCAGCGCGGAATTTGTAACTAACGTTTGTCATCTGAGTAGAATCCTGTCATATTATCCGCGAGATTATACAGAAATGCATTACTATTATGGTGCTGCACTAGGAAATGCTCGAGCAGCCGCTCGCATGTATCGCATTTTTCTACGCGTCCATAATGCGTATATACGCATTATGGACGCTCCATATGGAGGGCCGCATACTAGGCACTCATCGTCAGCTAGGAGCGCCGAGGATACGCCCAGAAGAAATAGAAGATATAATAGAAGCAGCCGAGAGAGATCCCTCTATAAGCACCAAAGCCATTGCCCGAAGCAGAAACATATCCCATACTTCAGTGCATACAATACCACGCTCGGAGAACATGCATCCTTACCATGTACAAAAAGGACACATCCGATGGCCTCCAAGGTCAGCCGATTTAAATCCTCTAGATTTTTTTATATGGGGGTTTTATAAGAAGATAATCTATACATCTGAATATACAAATGTCAACCAACTACGCCAGCAAATTGATAAAATAAAAATTATGGAAAATTCATTCCAAAGACTAAAGGATAATTTTATTAGAAGGTGTCGCTTGTGTATACAAAATAATGGAGGCCATTTCGAACATGTTCTTTAAAAGTTAGTTTAATTAAATTATCTTCCACATTTGTCGGGAAATCGCCATAAAGAGCGGCTAAACACAATAGGCGTTTGTAGGTGGTAAGGATTCTATTGCCTTTCTTACGTTTATCGCATCACAACAACGAATGTGACATGATACACTCATCGTAGCAAACTAAAATGTTCAGGGTTTATTCTACATGGATTGAAATAGTTTTTCCAATTAAATGAATAAGTTGAAGTATGGAAGAGATATTCACAAAAAAATGAATTTAAGTTTTTTTGCGTTGATAAGCTCTGTTAAAAAGTAACAGAACCATTGCTAAAACTAACCATTTAGCTCAACCCAGAAAAAAAATTACAACCCTAAACCTAATGGTTTAGTTGTAATTGCGATTGAAAGTTCACTCTCCCGTTTTTTTTTTCGAAATTTCACAAAATTGCAAATATCTCCTGAACTATAAAATTTCGGACCACACATAATAGGGGTTCACTCGATAGGTTTTGAGGCCCTCTATCACCTGACTTCCGTTGATCCACTACTAACTTTACACCCTGTATATTTTGGCAATATTGCCTGCTATATGCAGACTCACACTTTCTTGAATTTCTCTTCAGAAGAGGTACAAAATCAGGCAAGAATGACTGACGAAATTGTAGAAGTTGCGAAAGCTTACATTACTGATATGTGTAGTAATAAAGCCGGACTATACTAAAAATATTGCCCTATGTTGCTGGCTACTTTACTGCAACTGAGTAATGCAGTCAAAATATTGCTCATTTAAAAGCTCTATTGAAGACAGCCAGGAAGACTAGAGGTAGGAGGTTAACTGCGTAAGGGATACACGTGTTCTTATGAAGCCAATCCTGTCGCCAAGGACGGTTTGGCACTCGGAAATCTACTGAACGTAGAGCGCCTTCACATGTCAACATCACCTGCCATGCTTTGTACGTTTATTTCTGCTTGCCACTCGTCCGAACTGTCAAAATTGGAGCTACTATTCGTCGTTTGTTTGTCTGGGTGGTCCGTAGGACCTTTGCCCATTAGTCACTGTCTAATGTACGTTAGTCGAATCTGTCAGAACTGGTTGCCCAGAAACCAGACAATGACAAAGAGAAAGGGAAGGAGAAGAAAAATGGAGAACATCAAAGAAAAACAGAAGTGTTTAGTTAGAGAGGGGACAGCTAGGTTTTTTGACTTGGTACACGGATTAATTTTGAGGTGAACTAAATAAATTTTGATTCGGTTTTAATAAAGTCTAATTTTAAGTTTATTAAAAGTTCGCGCTAGTTTTTTAATACAGTGCGAGCCGTGGTCTTGAATGTTTACGAACTAACAGAGTGTTGCTGTGCGATTCCGCTTGACTATAACGTCGCTGCGCCTGAATTTTGACATAATCCCTCAAGTAAGGAGTGTCAAGGTCTCTGTGTAGTGTCTCGTTTGAGACATACCATGGAGCGTTGCAAATTTTCGCTAAGTTCTACTTTGCAGAACTTGAAGGCTTTGCATATGTGTCTTGGCAAGAAAACACCAAGCCGCACATGCATAAGTAATGGCTGGTCTAATAATCATTTTATATAGACGAACTTTGTTAATCAAACTCAATTTGGAGGATCTACATAAAGGATATAGTTGCCGAAACGCAATTTGGAATTTTGTTTTCAAGGCTGCTGTATGTTTCTGCCAGGTCATGCCTTTATCAAGGGTGACACCAAGGTACAGAGACCTCTGCTGGGGAGGCGCGACGTCTTTTGGTACAATAAATAGCCTGCGTTTTCGAATGATTAATTTTAATCACCGTTCCGCCCACTCTAGTACTTCTTCCACCGCACTCTGCAATCCATCGTGAACCAGATCACCAGTACATGACTGGGCGACAAGTGTAGTGTCGTCAGCATAGAGGTAGACTTCACAGTTGCTGGGGAAAGGGGCATCATGGATAAAAAGCGAATAAAGGATTGGTCCTAGGACCGAAGCCTGAGGAACAATCAAAATTGGAGCTGTTTAGAGTCATGGTGACAGCAACGGAGTGCAGAATCCGAAATTCATTTTCTGCGCAGTATACACACGAGAGAGATGCCCTATGCGCATCACCTGAAATTCATTTGCTGCACAGTGTACCAACTCACTTCAACGTCGAGATTTTTGTCCTCACTCAAACTCCATCAGTTAGACCTCCAACGCGCTGTAACTAATGGGTGATTTTTTTGTTAGTATCTTTTTGGCAACACTGTTTTTGACAGATGACGCGTGAATCGTGTCTTGTGTCATTGTCAAACTTGTTCAGTTTGGTCTATAATTTCACCATGAATCGACTTACGAACGAACAACGCTTGCAAATTATTGAATTTTACTATCAAAATTCATGCTCGGTTAAGAGAGTGCATCGAGCACTGCTTCCAATTTATGGGCAATTTGGTCGGCCTACTGAGGGAGCTATTCGGAAGCTTGTGACTAAATTTCGAACCCAGTTTACATTATTGGACATTAAACCACCAACACGCATACGTAGAGTGAGGACTGAAGAAAATATTGCGGCTGTATCCGGCAGTGTTAGTGATGACCGTGAAATGTCGATTCGCCGCCGTTCGCAGCAATTGGGCCTCTGTTACTCCACTACGTGGAAAATTTTGCGACAGGATTTGGGTGTAAAACCTTATAAGATACAGCTGGTGCAAGAGTTGAAGCCACACGACCTCCCACAACGCTTCCAATTTGGTGAATGGGCGCTGGCAAAGTTGGAGGAAGATCCACATTTTTATCGAAAAATTGTGTTCATCGACGAAGCTCATTTCTTGTTGAATGGGTACGTTAACAAGCAAAATTGCCGCATCTGGAGTGAAGACAGGCTAGAAGCATTGCAAGAGCTACCAAAGCATCCCGAAAAAATCACTGTTTGGTGTGGATTATGGGCCGGTGGCATCATCGGGCCGTACTTCTTCAAAGACGACAATGGCCGGAACGTAACTGTGAATGGCGAGCGCTACCGTGCGATGATAACAAACTTTTTTTTGCCCAAAATGGAAGAGCTGGACTTGGCTGACATGTGGTTTCAACAAGACGGTGCCACATGCCACACCGCACACGAAACTATGGCCCTATTGAGAAGCGAGTTCGGTGAACAGTTTATCTCACGTTTGGGGCCCGTCAACTGGCCGCCTAGATCGTGTGATTTAACGTCGTTGGACTATTTCTTGTGGGGCCATGTTAAGGCTAATGTCTACAGGGATAAACCAGCAACGATTGACGCACTGGAAGCCAATACTGAAGCATTTATTCGTGAGATACCGGCCGATATGTTGGAGAGAGTGTTCCAAAATTGGACCTTGCGCATGGGCCATCTAAAGCGGAGCCGCGGCCAACATTTACATGAAATAATCTTTAAACGTTAAATTATATCGACCGTTCTATCGACTCAAATAAAGATTTAATCGTTTTTTTCAAATTGTTTGTGTTTTTTTTTTGAAAATCAAATCCTATACCTCTTACAAAATCACCCGTTACAACCATAAAGAAAACTTACATCTGTATCTTGATAATCGGCCGTTCTGCCATCCGCATACTGGTACCTCACATGGTGCTTCCCGTCCACCGCCAGCTGAGACCCGTCAGCGTACCTCACTTTAACCTCCCCTCCTACCGTCTGCCACGCTACCCCCACTCCTGGAACGGCCACCCGACGTTGCTTGCCACTCGCGCTGCTGTTGGCTGTATCCGTGGTACTGTTCCCGGTACGACGGTGTCCCAAGGGTACTGTCGATGTACTACCCACGCTGCCGTCCACTGATACAGTGAATGAAGGCTGCAAGTGAGATTAGAAAATTTAGAATCCCAAGTAATGAAAGTAACAGGTAACCAAATAAGTTCGAGCGGTTTTTAGTAGAAAAATATAAATTTTTATTGAGAAACAATAAGACACTATTTATTCGTCGAAGTGATTACCATCACATTCAATGACTTTTTGCCAACGTGGAACCAATTTTTGTATGCCGGTATTGTAGAACTCCCTGGATTTGGAGTCAAAAAATTGGCGGCCTGCATTTATTACACCTTCTCGAGTTTGTAACTGTCGGTGCCTCATACAGTTGTCAAGAGACAATAAAGTTCAGAAATTTTTTCTCGGGTCACTTTTGCGGTATGAGGCTTGGCGTTATCCTGCAAGAATATCACTTTCTTCCGATTGATCAAAGAAGGCTGTTTCTAAATGAGTGCTGCTTGTACTCGTTGAAGCTGCTCACAATACAAATTAGCAGTGATGGTTTGACCCTTTTCCAAAAACTCATAATGGACAATTCTAGTTGCTGTCCACCAAACACACAACAAAACATTGTTTGGGTACCAGAAAGCCTTGGGCGTGTGTGGTACCGAATCAGTAGGCAACAACCAATGATACAAACGCTTAAAATTCGAATACAAGATCCATTTTTCGTCGCAGGCTAATAACCGATTAAGAAACGGTTCATTAGCGTTACGTGAAATGTTTGCTGAACAAATAGTAAGACGACTTATCTTGTTATCATTTGTCAGTTCACGTGCGACCCATTAGCTTAACTTCCACGTCTTTCCTAGCTGATGAAGATGCAAACGAAAAGTTCCAGGACTCACTCTGAACATTTCTTCAAGTTCTTGGCACGTTGTCCTGGAATTTGCGTCCACAACCTGTCGAAGATCCTCGTTGTTCATGATTGTTGGTCTCCCTGAGCGCGGTTCATCGCTCAAACTGAGATCTCCCGAAGAAAATTTTTTGAACCACTTCTGTGCTGTTCGATCATTAACGGCATCATCTCCGAATGCGGTACATATTTTTCGCGCCGCCGCTGCAGCTTTTGTACCAAATTTGTACTCATACAGTAAACAACTTTTTTAGTCGTCGCCATTTTCAATTAATAAAACTAGGTATTTAACAATTTTCAGCAACTTTTTATGTGTGTGAGAAAAAAAGGATTCATACTAAAGCGACAACAGGTAACAAACAATCGCTACCATCAACAACATCCATGGCAATGTGCGATATACAGCAACCGCACGAATTTATTTGGTTACCTTATATAATCACAGAATCGGTGCAGATATAGATAAATAAATGTGCTTTATTGTCTTAAGAATACAATCATTCTTAATGGCAAACCTAAGTTAAAAACAAACTATAATGTCGTTTACATATTAAAAAGGTTTTACGGTCTCGGCGAGATATTTTTAAATTTTTAATGCCTTTGATATCATGAGGGAGACGCATGTAAATTTTCAGGCCATTATAAATTGTTTGAGTCTTTCACAAGTGTTATTTAAGGTGCTACTAATTTGAATCTTGTTTTCGTCTAATATTGTTTCTTATACAAGGTGTTCCTTAATGATATGCGAATATTTAAGGGTGTGAATCTACATGAAAAATTAATGTTAGTTTGCTTTATAAACTATGATCCAAAAATGTTTCCTTACAAAAACTCGGATTTTTTCTACATGCAGGCCTCTACTTGTAAATCTTAGGATTGCTCTAGGATTGCTTTTAAAAACAAAGGTATGACCATATCTAAGCATGTGATGGTAGACGGTCTCTGACTGTCGAACGAGGAGGTACTACCCGGCAGATCTCGTAGGCGGGGCCAGAATGTGTGCATGTTGCATGCACACCTGTTCCCTCGCCTGAGTCCGTGTGGATTTCACCCCATGGGTGTTTAGGAATCAGACCTTCGTGGTAGTTGAAACATAAAAAATAGTTCTTTTTTGTATATAAGCACTTTTTGAAACAATTTTAGGAACAGACACACCAAAAGGGAACGCTACATCTCAATATACTTTCACATAAGGCAAAGTAGGTACTTAAGGCTGTGCTTTTATCTATGTTGTATCTAACTGTTCGTATAATAAAGGATAGCTTTGCTAGTTGAGTAAGCAATTTGTCTACGTGATTAGTTAAATCTAATTTTTGATCAATGGTCAGTCCCAAAAATTTGATAGTGTCTTAAATGACATAAATTTTGTCTTCTTAATATTGAGAGTCAATTAATAGTTGTCAGACCATTTTTTGAAAGACTATATATCGCTATTCATTTTTGTCTTAATTCTAAATCAAAAACAACGAATTTACCATTTATGCTTAAGTTTAATAAATCGATGATATAGACTAAGAATGGGATCGAAGCTAATACTGTTCCTTGAGATAGCCCTGTGATTATATTTAATTTATCTGAAATTCAATGTCGATAATGTTAAAATTTATGATCGATTATTTAAATATGTTTTAAAGTGAAGTTTCAGTACAACCATATTTGTTTAATTTTATTAATAAAGGGTGGGCCATCCGTTGGTTTCTTTTTTAAATTGGTATCAAAATTACACTCTTCAATAATATGTAACACTCGATACTTTATACAAAAGAATACACCTTCCGATTATTTATGAAAAACAATTTCAGTTAAATGGCTGCCGCGGCTGGCCTGGCAGTAGCCCATCCTCTTAACCCAATTTGGATACACATTTTCGATAGTTTGTGGGTCTATTTCATCAATAGCTCGATGGATATTTTCCTTGACAACATCAATTGTTTAAGGATCGTTAGTGTAACAGCGGTCCTTAACAGTACCCCATAGGAAGAAATCCATGGGCGTCAAATCACAGCTGCGGGCTGGCCAATGAACGTCTCCAAAACGGCTGATAACGCGATGACCGAACTTGCTGTATAAAAGATCGATTGTTCCACGGCTGGTGTGACATATTGTGCCATCCTGCTGGAACGAGAGATTTTGCAAGTGCATGCGGTCTAATAGTGGCCACAAAAAACTCCTCAACATGTCTCTATAGCGTTCCCTGTTTACTGTCACGCTATTACCATCTTCATCTTGAAAAAAGTAGGGACCAATAATCCCACCACTCCAAAAGCCACACCAAACACTTACTCTTTTTGGATGCATTGGTTTTTCTATGACATGTAGATTTTCAGAACCCCAAATCCTACAGTTCTGCTTGCTAACGTAACCCCCCAGATGGAAATGAGCTCCGCCCGAAAAGATGACTGGGCGACCAAAATTGACGTCCGTTTCCAATTGATTTAGAGCCCACACAGAGAAGCGATATCGAATATCGGATGGTCATTTTGTTTCAACCCTTGCACAAGTTGCACCTTGTAAGGAAATAATCCCAGGTCGTTATGCAATATTCTCCGCACAGACGTGCGACTGATGCCCCACTTGTTGTGCTCTGTGACGAGTTGACATTCTTGCGTTTTCACGCACACTCTGGGCAACAGCAGCAATGTTTTAGGCTGTACGTACGGGTCGAACACGCTCGTACCTTCTATTATGCAAAGCCTTCTTCACGAATTTTGGCATACCAGTCGCGGACGGAGCTTCATTCCGATCACATAGTCTTCTCAATTTTCGCAAAGTTTCTGCAAATCAGTACTCACTTTGAAAGTAGTTTTTAAAAATTTCCCACCTTTATTCAAGATTAAAACGATCCATTGCTCACAGCGGAAGTTTGTCACAATATATCTGAAATCTGTTGAGCATCGAAGTATTATAATAATAATAACGTTTAAAATGAGTAAATAGTAGAATACAAAATCCTGGGAATTGGCATAGCCATTTTTCACCCCCGCCTGTGTGGCTAATGTAAACAAAATGATTTATTAAGTGCAATACCAAATCTTAGTAAGGCATATCATATACACCACATATAAGAACATGTAGCTGACAGTTATAATATCAACAAAATTTTAAAAGTTAATAATAATAATGAGATCTATTCAACCATTGTAGATTCAATGAATTGAGACTGAAGTAGCATTTTTTGAATTCTCTTCTGAAGCTGTGAATTGACGTTAGTTAAAAAAATGTTGGGTCTTCACTTAGTATACTGGGCGCTATGTAATAGAAACATTTTTGGAATTTTGATGTAATGTGGACTGGTGTGTTAGAAAAGCGTCAAAAAGATATTTTGGACGCAAGAAACATCTAATGTTTTTCGTTTAAATTTGAGTATAATTGTTGGAGTAATCTCAAAATAGCATCCATCCAAGGTGTTTTTTTTTTGTTTCTGAAATCCACACTGGTTGTCACTTATAATTTTGTTGGGTTTTAGCAAGTCTCTTAATCTAATTTGAACTATTTTTTCTCTTATTTTGCTATAACAGTGATTAAACTTATGGAAACCTTTTTATGAATAATTTGTTTGTTCCACTAGATACAAAGATATACAATTTTATAAAATTATTAAATAATAATTCAATTGGAAGGGCTCTCAATATTTTGAAAATGGGACCTTTCTGGGGTAGTATCTGTTTTTACCCGACTTTCGCAAAAGGAAAGTTATGTTTTTCATGAATATGTATGTGGGTGTATGAGCTAGAACTTGAAAGGCTTGATGGATATTGACATATTATGTGTCTACAATGCGAGTGACACTAGGTATACTTACTGACATTTCGTATAATCAAAGTGGCGGATTTCAAACTCAAACTTCAGCCTTGAACGAATTCTGACTAAGTGGAAGAACCAAGTCTATGAATACATATATAAAAAAAATACATCTTCCCTAACTAACCTGATACTTGTATAGTTATTGTATACATCATTATAACCCAGCAATCAAAAGAAATAAACAAACAAAATTATAATGTAATGTTTAATTTACACGCATAAAATTAGAAATTAAATATCATATTGACTTATTCTGTCAACCGCTGTTTCAAAACCCGGCGTCGTCATTCGCAGTTTATACAAGTTTAGACAGGTCACAACATGAAATCCGCGCGCACCTCCGCCGCGCTCCGCTTAACATTCATCACTTAGAAAAAAAATGTGTACCTACCAGACCCGGATGAGCATCTGTGACATTCATTCCCACAAACTTGCGAAAAATTTGACGTTTCGATATACGTGTTTTGTTGAGAAATCTGTTTGAGTGGGTCAAATTATTGTGTCTCACTGTTTAAAAGATAAGTTTGTGTATTTACAAACTTCAGTTACCATTTTTATTTAATTCACTAAATTGTTGATTGAGTGGAGACGCGTTCATAGATCGGTCATTGGGACTTTTTTACCACATCACAATCAAATCAACGTGGCAAAATAATATTGAAACGACGGACTTTAAGTACCTAATATTGATTCCAAATGTATTTAAAATTACTATTATAACGTCAACCTACCTACAAAAATATAAATCTCCCGGTGGCCAATATACTGTTGAATACATTACGTTATTCAGATAAAATAATGGGCATATAATTAGTAATTACATTTAGGTATTTTGCTTACTTATTTATTACTTATTTGTTTTATTGTTATTGGTGCAAATTGGCAGTGAAAAAAAGAAAGTTTTCCGAAGATAAGGTTAAGTTTGGGTTTACCTTCATAGAGAAAGACGAGTTATAATTGCCTCAGTGTGTGATATGTATGAAAGTTTTAAGTAACGATTGCATGAGGCCTAATCGCCTTGGAAGGCATTTGAAGCAATAACATCCTACTATGGTTTTGAAGACGAAAGAGTTTTTTCTTCTAAAGCAGAATCACTCAAGCGGATGAGACTGGATAAATCGGGAAGTTATCACGCAGGTGTATCGCAGCATCTCAAAGCTTTTATGATAGCAAAGCAAAACCTCATACTATCGGTGAAGAATTAATAAAACCATGTGTCCTGAAAGCCACGCAGATAATTTTAGGAGAAGATGCAGATCAAAAAATGAAGTATATTTCTCTTTCACACAGTCAAGCGTAGAATCGATGACATAGCAGCAGACATAAAGTCACAAATAATTAACAAAGTAAAATTATCGCCATTTATTGCCATTAGTTGCGATGAATCCACCGACATGGTTAATTGTGCACAGTTAATAGTTTATGTTCGTTACATCGGCGGAGATATCATTCAAGAAGTGATTTTGTACTCCCAATCTTTGACAGCAGGTACTACATCTGAAGATATATTTAATTCAATATCAAATTTTGTTGAGAAAAATTATTTGGATTGGAGAAGGCGCACCTGCAATGATAGGTGTACGATCGGGCTTATCTAAAAAGCTCAACGAAAAAAATCCCGCCATGGTTAGTACACATTGTGTTATTCATCGGCAAGCTTTCGCTTCCAAAACATTGCCCCATAAATTACGCCAGACTTTGGACTCGGCTATAAGGATTGCAAACTACATCAAGAACAGCGCTTTGAACAGTCGGTTATTTACTTTACTTGCGAGGATCTCGATTCTGATCACAAGTTCTGCTCCATAAGAAGTACGCTGGCTGTCCAAAGGCAACATGTTGGCTCGCCTTTATGAATTGAAAGAAGAGGTAATTATTTTTCTTGAGTTCAAAGAAAAACACGATTTCTTGACAATGTTCAAAGATGACATATTTCAATGGAGGTTGGCTTATTTAACTGACATGTTGACTCCTTGAATGAGCTTAACTTGAAACTTAAGGGCAGAAGCAACACTATAATAAGCAATTATGATTATATTCAGGGGTTCATATCAAAGCTTGAACTTTGGAATCAAAAAGTGTCTTCTGAAAGTGTTATATCTTTTTCTCGGCTGTTCGAAGCAATTGAAAATAACATACTGGACGCAAATTTAAAAGCTGACATAAAAACTCATTTGCAAGCGCTGGAAGACGAAGTTCGCCGATACTATCGAGACATCAATTCAGAGCGCCCAATATGGCACATGACAAAAAATCCATTTGTTGTCGATGTGTCACAATTACCAGAAGAAGTTCAGGAAGAATTTCTAGAAATGAAGGCTGATTCGTCCATGAAAGCTGACTTCCATCTTTTACTATTGGAGAAGTTTTGGATCAAAAGATTGCCTGTTAATTCGACACTTGCCTCTCTTGCTTTTCGAATACTAGTTCCTTTTTCTTCAACTTACTTATGTGAGACATGCTTTTTTGCTCTATTTTTAATTAAAACTAAACAGCGAAATCGTCTTGATGTCGATAACGACCTGATGATAGCTCTGGCCAAAACAGAACCTAGAATCAACCAACTGATACAGAACATGCAATCTCAACTGTCGCATTAGTACCTAGTCTAATTTTATTCAAGTTTTTCGATAAAAAAACATTTATTAGTTTATTGAAACTTTAAATTTCTGAAGATGGTTTAGTGTAAAATGAACCAAAACGTCAAACAAAATATGAGAATATTCATGCATAATCAAAATTTATTTATATACAGTTTGGGGAGTTCACAGGTAAACCCAACACACACCCTCAGTGAACTAAAACTAAACTTACAAAAAATATCGTATAGATGTATTACCTTATTGAATACTTCAATATTAATATTTTTTTTTATCTTCCGATATTGTTGTAACAACATAAACAGAGTGAGTAGTTCTAATTATAAGCAATAAACTATTGATTTAACTTTTTTAATAAAAGGAGTATACATAATTTAACATTTACTTACGTTTAATTAAAACTGAAATCAAAATTAAATTGAAATTATACCGGAAATGATATTGGAGGTGATAACTTGAGTTATGTCAAAAAATAAAACATTTCTATTTTAGTCTGCCATAGAGCTGTAATACTCAACTTTAAACCCTGTTTCAGGAAGGTCAAGCTAATGTTAAATAAATCTATATTACAGAAATTATTATGATTTTTTTGAGCCCTGACCAAAGGGGAATTAAGCCTAAGATTAGTTCTACGGAACGGTATTCTAAACAGATGATAGGTTCTAAACGTTCTATCAGGAGTGTTAAAGTTTAAGTTTGCCAAAAGATCCGGACAGTCACTGAGGCCATTCAACAATTTATGAACACAGCAAATGTCAGAAATCGTTCTTCTATCTTTTAAGGAAATCATATTGAACTGTTTTATAATTTGCGTATAATGATGATGTGTAACAGGTTGGTGAGTTTTATGTGCTAACATCTTCAAAAATTTGTGTTGAATTCTTTCTATCCTGGCTATATGTACATTGTAAGACGGATTCCATATTACTGATGCAAACATCAATTTGTTGTGTATATAAGCGTAGTACAATGAAAGAAGCGTTTTTGGGTTCGTAAATTCTCTGCATGTCCTGTTTATGAACCCTAGTATTCTATTTGCATCATTTACGATGTGCTCTACGTGAGTGATGAGAGTTTCTCATCAATGTATACCCCTAGGTCTTTTACTACATGAAGCTTTTCCAGTTCTGCCGTCCCTATCTTATATCTGAAATCTATAGTGTTCGCTATGTTTCTAGTAAGCCTCATGTAATGACATTTTGTTAAATTAAGGAAGATACTGTTTTCAGTGCAATACTTTTGCAGAGATTCCAAATCGCTTTGAAGTTTTACACCGTCATTTACATTTCTAACAATAGTAAAATCTTTAGATCATCAGCATATAACAAATATTCGCTGAAATGAAAAACAGAAGTAAAGTTGTTCATGTATATGTTAAATAACAATGGTCCTAAGTGAGACTACCTTGTGGTACGCCTGAAGTTACTAAGAATGTCTCCGAAAGATACCCATTGATAGTCATCACTTGTTTACGCTTACTTATATACGATGCTAGCCACTGCCATAATGGACCATCTACACCCACCTCAGCAAGTCTCTCCATCAAGATAGAATGATCAATCTTGTCGAAAGCCTTACTGAAGTCGGTATAAATAACATCCACCTGCAGTTTCTCATCTATTGCATGTGAGGCATATTCTATAAAACTCATCAAATTCGTCTCTACAGATCTTTTATGGAAAACACCATGATTCGAAATCTCATAGAATGTAATCAGGATGACAGTTCATACTAAAAGTCAAACAGGCGAAGTCGAGCAAAACAAAGAGACTAGCACCGTGTTACAGCGAGAGCGTACTAGACACCAGAACAACGACTCGATGGACAATTCATTCGCTCTGAAATGTGTACTCCTCTCTTCATTTTGCTCTACTCATTAAGTAAGGGATCTCAATGATTCTCTGACTATCTTGTATTGTGTTCGCAGATATGCAAAACTGTACTTACGATCATTGCATGTCGCGGTCGCGGACTGTTTTCCTTCCCCTCGCCAGCTTGCTGCAGCCTTCTGCCGATTATAGCCGGGAACGAGGTCTTCGGTAGATCCGCAAGAGCCCTCTCTAACGCCTTGCAATGCTGCAAGGCATCACGAGAGTGCTTCCAAGTCAGCCGCAGTTCTGGAGTCAGAGACGCTTCCGACGCCGAACATTCCTCGGCAGAACGGAAACGAATGATGTCGCCAGATGGCGTTGTCAGCTGGACTCCATCTGACGGAGATTCCGTTATCTTGTAACCTAGAAACAAACAATCAAATTGTACAATAGTCCGAACCTCAGAGAATTTGAGGTCGGAAAAAGTAATAACGGGCAGAAGTTTGGCATGATGGCAGTTTGTAGTATTGGGAATAGTCATCAATCATCACTCCACTCCAACATAAATATTAACGTTCTAAAATCACTACCCGTTGAACTATCCTTCTTCTATTTGAAACCCAAAAATTATAAAAAGTTAACAAATTTGTTTACCAATAATCAATGCTGAGGAGATTACTGAAGGCATAGTATTACAATATTTATTTCAGTTTGCTGGATTTAGTGAGAGCCCGCTGAAAGTCAAGATGTTTGAGTGTGGTTTGGCGATTATTATAATTAGACCGAGTTATCTTAAATCCACTACGATTTTTGGACGAAATATACAGGGTGTCTGCGAAATGTTGGGAAATCTCGGAACTAAAGACACTACAGACCAAAATATGTGAGTTGACCTAAACATACCTTAGTAGTTGATAGTTTGCGAGATACTGGGTGTCAAAGTTACAATTTTATTTTACATTTTTCCTTATTGCTTGAGAAGTATTTCAGATATTGGCATAAAACTGGGTATAGGGAGCAGGTTTTTTAGTATGAGAAACAAGAATCCGTTATTTTTTATGAGAGGCCGCCACGTACTTATTATAACATCCTAACTTTTTTGTGATACCCTGTATACAACAAGTGACGGAAAAATATTATTTTCTCGTAGTTCCACCACAAAAAAGGTTTACTTGTTAGAAGTATCTAAAGCTAATAGTTTTCGCGATATATGTTTTTAAAAGTTCCAATGCATTATTTGTGCCATGATGATAAATCATTTTTATAACATAATAATCAAGTTGCTTTGGATAATATCTGAGTAGCTTTGCTATGGTTTATAACAATAACAAATGAGGATGGCAACAAAACTAATAAACGGAAATAATAACTACAAAAATTGTTCAACATGGGCACCACCTTGCCTAACACACTCTCGAGCTGGACGAACTAATCCTTGCTGCACTCTCCAAAACATTTGGATGTTATTTTCCTGTCTATGGTGAAAACTTCTTTGTTGAAGATCATCTACAGTTTCCACTGGTGTATTGCAAACGCGTCATTTTAAGTCATCCCAGAAGAAGAAATCCATGGCATTTAAATCTGGTGATCTAGCCAGTCACGATACAGGTCCTGATCGGCCTATCCACTGCTCTGGATAAATTTATTTAGGTGCTCTCTAACTAATATACTAAAATGAGGTGGAGCGCCGTAGTGCATGAACCACATATTCATGCGTGTTTGTAATGGAAGATTTTCCAGCACAGTGGGTAATTGTTCTTCAAGAAATTGTAAATACCTTTGGCCATTTCGTCTAGGTGGTAACTCAACAGGTAATATAAATATTATCCAATTAATTTGAAATTGTACTTGTTGGAGGGTTTGTATTATTGCATGAAGATTTTGGTCTACATAAATGTGAAGATTATGCGAGTTAATGGGCCCATCTCTTCCAAATCCTGCTTCGTCCGAAAATAATATCAACGAAGTAAAACCATTGTCGAGATTAAACTTCCTTAAGATCCATGTACAAAATTCTACACTTGCGGGGCCATCATCCGCGCTTAAACCATGTACTTTTTGCAGGTGGTATGGATGGAGCAGTTGCTCTTGAAAAATGGTAGTTACTGTACATTTAGAAACTTGAAATTCTCGAGCTACATTCCTAACCCCAACTGTAGTATTTTCAAAGACAGCATCTAAAATATTTTCTTCAACCTCAGCTATACGTACAGTTCTGGGTCGGCCCATATTTTGAGCAAAACTACCTAAAACTCGTTGGAAAGTCTTTGAATTAGCACGTACAATCTTCTTGCCAACCCGTACATATCATCATCATCATGTTCATCAAACGTATACTCCATGACCTTTAACAACTTATTGTCAACTTAAAATTATTCATGAAGTTGTAAAGCGATACATACTCGATTATTACGTTATAAAAATGTTTTATCATCATGCTAAAATAATGCATTGGAACTTTTGAAATCAAATATCTCGAAAACTATTAGCTTTAGACTCTTCTAACAAGCAAACCTTTTTTGTTGTGGAAAGACGATAAAATAAGATTTTTCGGTCAATTGCTGTATACAGGGTAGCACAAAAAACTTATGATAAGTCATTTACCGAAAAAAATAACGGATTCTTTGTTTCTCACACTAATAACGAGAAATAGAAAATAAAATTGTAACTTTGACACCCTGTATCTGGCAAACTAACAACTTTTGGACTAAGGTATGTTTAGGTCAATTCACATATTTTGTAGTATCTCCAGTTTCGAGATTTCCCAACCTTTCGCAGTTCACATATTTGCCTACAATATGAGCTGGTTAGAGATCCAAAAATTTATTGAGAATCCTCTGGCATTCCAAAAACCTAATACGTCAACATGAAATCATGTTAGCGGAAGAGAGTTTCTGCGTTTCACAGGGGATTGTGATATATGAAACAGTAAATACTAGTCGTGTGACATTCACAAATACTCAAAACTAATATATTTCTATTAAAACAGATTTTCGAGATTAAACTAGGACAGTAAGTAAAAATGTTAATCCTGCGATACGATGAAGGAAGGATCATTTTAGAAGATTCTTGTCGTTTTTTCATCTTGATACAACAATTTTTTACTGAGATATAGTCCTCTGAGTGACATTAAGCGGAATAGCACAACCATAAAATGAAACATCCATTTCAGCGCTGTCACGCACAATCTCAGAAACATATGTGTTGTGAAATACTATTCCTATAGAAAGTTTCACCAGCTTTCATTTTACCAATAGAGGTGTTTTATTTTTCCTTTTTTTGTCAACATATAAAAAATGAGATTTTAGCGGTAATATTTTTAGAACGACAATTGAAGACAGAAATGGATAAACATGTCATGTAACATTTTTTTTTAAAATTGCTTTTCTGCCTTAAATTAACCTTAAGGTGATTCTTTCATTCTGTGATTACTTTGTTGCTAATACAGGATAATAGCAAACTAATTAAACTAAATATTTAAAATGTCAACAAAGTAAAAAGTCTCAATAAAATGTAAGTCAACTTTCTCCATTAAATGATTTTGTTACATGACACCTTTATCCACTAGTGTCAGCCTGTTCAGCCTGTTATTAATTTTTCTGAGGAACCAATAAAATATAGTCTACCAAGTACAGCACTACCAAACAAGAATAAGATGCATTCTCCTTTTACTAACCATCATAGAAGCACATTTCAAAATCTTCCAGGCTTTCCATGAGGAAGCATTTCCCCTTATCAGTGTAGTAGGTGACTTTGGGTGTTTTTGCTCTGACCAGCTCGACAAACTTGGCAGCATACATGTACTTTTTTCTTTGTCGATCGGACAGGTTATCAAAACTGCAAATTCGATCTGCACCAGCAGCTTTAGGCGGAGGAGGTCCATCGGGATTCGAAGGCGGAGAACCTTCAGGTTCATACATTACCACACGCATTCCGTCAGCTGAGATCCGCATCACCTACAAAATAAGAAAATCTGAGGAGTGGTTCCTTTAAAATCCACCACAAAATATGACACAAAGCCCGGAACATGCCATGTCAAGCGAGTCAGAGATGTAAACAGGACTTGAACAAATCTGACCACAAAGTTCAGATAGCTCAGATCAGCATAGTTAGTACATCGCCTACGCTAAGTAAGCCAGCCTATGTTCAGAGGCGATTTTTCTCTAATGGTTATTTGATGAAATATCAACGTTGCCTGGGGCCGTTTTAGGCAAAGTTTCATATATTGTCTAGATAAAGCTTGTCCCTTAACCAAAACTAAGATAAACTATACTGACTATAATACTGATTGGATTAACGCCAATATTGTATCTGAAAGCAATTCTTTGAAATATCTATTTTGGTTATCAAAATACATAAATACATAAATAGTCCGGAGATAAATGAAAGATATAAGGAAGCAAAAAAAAGAATATGTATCAAAACTTTATCTGAAAACAACAAGAATGCTTTTAGAGAAAAAGAGAAAAATCGAATTTTCTGCCAACCCACCGAAGGAAATATGGACTATCATAAATACTAGATTATGTCACACACAATCGATAAAGGTTCGATTAAGGCAAACATCTTTGGGGATTATTTTGCAAAAATGTTTGTGGGTTAGTAATCCACATACGATACTTTGTGGAGCCATTGTTTTGTACAAAATAATCTAACATCATTGTTCTTTAACGATATTGTTCCATCAGAGTTCCTATCAATTCTGCTTGGCTCCAAAAAGAAACCATCAGGCGGCCCAGATAGCATACCGATTAACATGATAAAATTTGTGGCTGACTATTTGGTATATCCCCTACACTAAGTATTTAGGATAGCTGAAGCTAGCCACCATCAATCCTGTTTACAAAAAGGGAGACCGAAAGTTGCTCGATAATAATTATAGGACAATAACGCTAGTTTCCTGTTTTTCCAAATTATTTGAAGCAATTTGTCCACCTCAGACTAAACATCTTCATCAACAAAAACTCCATTTTGTCAGCAAACCAACACGGTTTCAGGCCTGGACTATCCATAAATAGAGGTGCCTTTCCACTTTTAAACTATATCTATGTATCTGTAAATAGTCGGCCATAGACTCTGGCTCTTTTCTTCGACCTAAGTCGAGCCTTTGATGGTAATGATTATAACCTCCTCATTGGAAATATTCAGGTTACCATTAGATGCATGGATAAAATCTTTTGTATCAAACGGAAAAATAAAAGTAAGAGTGAGTACATTTGAAATAAACTTGGGGGTTCCTCAGGAGTGTATATTATCACCCCTCTGGTTCGTGCTGTTTATAAATGATGCTGATGATGAGTGGGAGCTTAGTTAGTGAGGACGTCAGAGTAGTACAATAAACAGATGACACAACTATCAGTATAAACGGAAGGTCGCTCGAACAACTCGAAGATAAGGCAAACATGAATTAGCTAAAATTTTCAGAATGGATTGCGGAAAACAAGTTGATAGTAATTGCACCCAAAACAAAGTATAGAGTTTTCTATAAAAGACGAACTGTACCTGCTCCGACGCTCACGCTAAACAGTACTACCATAGAGAGAGAATCCTGATCCACCAAAATTGTGATAAAAAATATGTTATTTCTTGCACTGTATTATTTGCTGATCTAATTAATTATGGTAGCAAGAAACGAAATAGATATAAATATACCAGGCTTTTTAGAGATCATAACTATAAAACTTGTATAGGTACCTCACTATAAACTGGAATTTTCGCTTCCTTCCTTACAGTCCTACACTTTATTAAATTTTTTTTGAAAGCTGTCCATACCAGAAAATTAAAATCAAGAATAAAATATCGTGGAGCACAAAAGATTTGAAAATATCCAGCTGCAATTTTTAATGCCCTATTGACTTTTGCTCTGGAGGCGATATTTTCACGGAATATCGCAAAATGAGAGGAAAATGGCGTCAAGTAAGTTGACTCTGTACTTCCCACGCTACGCTGTCATCAGATCATAAAAGTCAAAGCACTGCTGACAGCAAGAACCAAATAAATCGCAGATGTCGACAAGTTTATCAAGTGGCGTAAGTCGACATTATTTTTCATCTGTTCTTTTCATGTCGCTGATTGTTGCCAGCTTTGAATTACCACTTTGTTCTCAAGAGACTCAAATAAAAAAAATCAAGCGGTGCAAGAATATGTGAGCCTAGGCAGGATCAAATTCAACCTGTCCCTCCAATACATATGTTTCACGGTCAAGATAAGCCCTCACATCATGATAAACTGAACTCTGATTTGGAGCATCTCCGTTTAGAGCATGCATCAATTACAGTTGCTGGAAAATCCGATGGAGGCTGGATTTTGAACCGCCCACATCACGAGACTATATAATTTTCTGGAACTCTTTCCTAACACTGTGCTACCATTTCTCCTGTCTTATGATCAGTGTATATTCATGGTCTTGTGCTTGTGGACACCTTGAACTGCTACCTCAACTTACAAAAGTATCTCTAATGTCTAATATGAGTTACTAGTTTTGTTGGGAAATTTCTCTGAAACTCTCGCTTGTACCGGTTTGGACTTCTATCATTCTTTCAAACTAAGTCAGTCTGACAAATACTAAATTACACATGAGTTACCAGAAAATAAAATACGTATAATTTTTCGGGCCACAGATAAAACCACTCGAGGTATTGGAAATTTTCAAATTAAGCCCATTAGCACAACTTGACTCAATCACAAAGACGTAAAAAGTTCATAGTCTTACCTCATACACCACTTCTCTGCCACTGCTTCTTTTCTTAATAAATTCTATACAAACTTCTCCGTCCTTCAATATACTCAACACAGTATTCTTGGTTTGATGTCTCGTAGGTAGTAAACGTTCCGAACATAGAGGTACTAAGCCAGTATTCCGTTTTTCCTTCACTATCTCTGGGGATCTCCTGAATGCGGGATCGTAGCGTTTCGGTAACATGCCATGGAAATTTGATGCGTCATCCGTTCTCGGTGTTTCTTTCAGGGCAAAACCAGTATCACCCGACCTGTTAATGAAATGCGTGAAGCAGTGTTACCAATATTTGAGTAGCAAAAGTTCCGAGCGAGGTTGCCAAAAGTTGCGAAAGGTTCCGATTCCATCATGCACAGATGATGTCACGTGATTTTTTTGTCAACCACCCCTTGGTATTAAATGTTAGATTTATTTTTTAAGTTGCCAAAGGAAAACAAGACATATTTATTTATTTTTATTTATTTATTTATACATAATTACCCAACAGAACTATTCCAATTAGAGGACAATATATGGTATCTTTAATTATAATACATACGTATAATGTATAAAACTAACTGTCTGCTATGGAATTATAATTGGTATAGAATTTTGCGGAAAATAAAATAATACGTTGGTACGGAAGGTACTGCAGTAGAAAATTAGAGTTCTTCTCGCATTTAACCGTGGTATACAGAAATTTAACCTCTGGAGAAGTTCTGGTGCATCCACTCTGTCGTGCAAAAGCTTATGAAGGAATGACAGGCCAGCAGTAGAACGTCTTAACTGAAGAGACTCTAGCTCAAAACGACGCACCGGAACAAATTCAGAGACCCCCCTTTCTGGATATGTGCCAACGATTTTATAAACAGTATTTAAGAAATTTTCTTTGTACATTTTCTAAGATGTCTATATAATACGCATAGAAGATATCAAAGAAGCATACTCCAGTTTTGGTCACACCAGTGAAATAAAAAGAGCTTTTTGGTGCCGCTTCATTGGAAAAAGATCGGCAGTTACGCATTATGAAACCCAGAATCCGTGTCGCTTCGAAAGTGACGCGTGCTACATGGACAGAAAAGTCCAATCTACAGGAAAATGTTACATCTTTAGTCTCTGTTGTTCTCTCCAAAACCTCATTATTTATGGAGTAATCAAATATAATCGGGTTCATTTTACGACAATATGAACATAATTTACATTTGGAAATATTTAAGAAGAGAATATTATTGTCGCACCACTGTGTGATGGTATGTAGATCGTCCTGAAGGGAAATACAGCTCTCCAAATTTGTAATTTCGGTGTAGATTTTCAGATCATCAGCAAATAGTAGACATTCACACTTTAGGGAAGCGGATAGGTTATTTATGAAGAATAAAAACAGCAAGGGACCTAGGTTTGAACCTTGCGGTACTCCAGAGGGAACAGTATAATTTGTTGAAGAACAAACATTATAATAAGCATATTGCGTCCTATTAGAAAGATATGAGCTTAGAAGACCGACTAACGAGTCACTAAGGCCGGAATAATGAAGGCTATCCAGAAGAAGATGATGGTTTAATTAGTCGAAAGACTTGCTGAAATCCATGTAAATATCAACGACTTGTTGTTTATTGTCTAACGATTTTGCTATATACTGCGTAATTGTCATTAAATTTCACGTAGTGGATCTACCTTTGATGAAACCATGCTGTGATGGTGTAATTAGGCTTTTAACGTTCTCGAAGATAAAAGAGTAAATGGCCACTTCAAAAGCCTTTGCAAAGTTGTTCAAAATGCTTATAGCTCTATAGTTGAGTACATCAGATTTATCTTTCGGGACCGGACACACCTTTGCTATCTTCCAAACATCAAGAAAAATTCCACTTTTCAATATAGCATTGAAAATTATCAGCATCGGCTTGACGAAAAAATGAGCACAATCTTTACTAATAAAACTATCTCTACCAGACGTAAGTTAAGTTTATTTTGGAGCTTAGAGAGAGACTTCAGTACATCAGCTTCCGTTAATTCCTCTAGATAAAACATGGTGTTGAGGTGACACTATCTAAAGAAGAGGGAATATTTCGAGGAGTAACAAACACACTCTTAAAATAGTCGGCAAATGCATCAATAACACCTTGTGGAGTATTAAATACGTTGCCGTTGAACTGGATTTGACCTGGTATTCTGCTAGTCTCTCTTATTCCGAATGTATGACCAGAACTTCATCGGGTCGGATTATACTGTCCTCAACCGACGACAAGTACTCACTGTAAGCAAGTCCAATTTGTCCCTTTATGATTCTGCGCAATCTAGAAAATTCATTGTAATAGTAAACGTTGCTTGTTCTCTTATATTTTCTGTAGTAGTAATCCTTCAAATTTATGTTATAATTTCTCCAGTATACCAAGGAGGATACCTGAATTTGCAGGTAGTGTTAGGAACATAAATTTCAAATATTGAAAAAATTTTAGCATATAGCATAAAAGCATTATACGAGCCCCTTCCCACTTCAGTTGGCCCAACTATTGAAATCTTAGTATTTTTCTTATCAAACACAAATAATAAAAATGTAGCAGGGTGTTATAGGTTTAAAATATTAACAATGAATATTTTGATAATATATAGTAGAAAACACCAACTTGATCACAAAAAAGTAATATCATAAATGCCGACCGAAGAGCATTAAAAAGAATAATCGTGAAAAACAGGCGTGCCAATTATTTACAATTAAGTGCTCTGTGGAGTGACGCTGTTGGAAGGAGAATTTCGAGGTCCACAACTCATAGAGAGATCCACAAACTGGGATTTAGCACTTGCAAGGTAAGTTTTCTTATAAAAAAAAGTGAAGTAAAAACCCTGAAGTTACACAATTTGTTTTTAGGCCAAAGAAAAGCCACTATTAACTCCACTGCGAAAGAAAAATAGGCTTAGATGGGCTAAAGAACATAGACAATGGACACCTCAACAATGGTGTGCAATACAATGGAGTGATGAGGCCCGATTCGAAGTTTGTGTTGGTGACAATCGCACTAGAGTTATTCGCAAAAAAATGAAGCATTCAATGTTGACTGTCTGAAGAGAAAAGTGAAATTTCCAGCATCCATTATGGTCTGGGGCAGTATGTCATCAAAAGGAGTAGGAAAACTTCATTTTATTGATGAAAATGTGGATACAAACAAATATTTGGCAATTTTAGAAGAATCGCTTTTACCAGTGATGGAAGAATGTTTGACATCCGGCCAAGATTTTGTGTTTCATCAAGATGGTGCAGCGTGCCATACCTCAAAAAAGGCTATAAAATGGATGGAAGAAAGTAATGTACCACTTATGAAATGGGTTTCTAGCAGTCCAGATGTGTCACCTATTGAAACTTTGGGGCACGAGATGAAAAAGGTTCTACGACAACATCCTGCTAGTACAATCACCGAAGTGAGACAAAAGCTTCAAGAAATATGGGATTGTTTTACACCAAATTTTTGCCAAAACTTGGTTAGCACTATGCTCCAAAGAATTTCAGCCATGATAAAAAATAAAGGTGATGTTACCCAATGGTAATCTTTCAATTGTTGCTTGCTATTTGATGTTCTATTAGTTATAGGTCTAAGTGATTTCAAATATATATTTTTTACGACTAGAGTGTATATAAAATGTTTTTGAGAAAATAAATTCTTTTAGAAGTAAATAGTTTATAAAGGCATATTTTGATACAAATCTTGAAGTGGGCCAACTGAAGTGGGAAGGGGCTCGTATAAGCCAACATAGGATGCCTTCTTGAAGTTATACATCAATGAGGTAGGATCAGTATTTGGGGACAAGTTAGACCTACTAGAAAGCTGTATGGTAAATAGGATACTTAAAGGTGGATGGTGAGGATCTACTTGGTTAACAATAGAAATAGCTAAGGAATCCATACTCGCGACAAAATATGACTAAAATAATAGAGCTAGCGTTAAATTATATAATTAATTTGTCAATTCAAATAAACAAGGTTTGTTAAAAATGTTGCTCAGTCACTGTTTCTATTCAGTTGAAAGTACGTTGATGCAATGACGTCACTCGAATAGATAATAAAAGTTTGTGCGAACGCACTATGCACATGTACATTGTATATATGGTACATAATGGGGTCAATAAATGGTAAATGGTAAATATATACAAAAATGAAGTTATGAAAACATATTATAACTGCACCCCACGCTTTTTTACTGTAATTGAATTTTTTGTAATATTAATTTTTATATTGATCGTATTTCAAATTAATCAGTCATACTTGATTCTTCGACTTTCTATTGCAGTAACTTAAACTCCCCTATATTTGAAAATTGTTGTCTACTTTTTAGTTCGCTTTGCTATTAAAGTGCGTCTTTTTAGTTTTTTTTTTTAAACTATAATTGATTTTTAGTCTCAAGACAACACTTATAATCAAGAGCTTCGTTTTTTGGTATATTTTATACTTAACAATAAATCTTAATTTAGAATTGTACTGTCGAACCAAGATAAATGTAACCCGTTACAAAATGTATCAACCGAAAATACCATCTCTATACCGGGTGTTGCAAATTCGACTGTCATCAATGATATTTCGGGAACGGTAAGAGTAGTATTCGAAGCTAGAAGGAGGGCAGGTTAGGCTTACAGGCCCAATCAACTAGTTTGAAGCAGAATTGCTAGCTGTTTAAGGGCCGTCGTTCCTACAATTGTAGAACGCCTTTATGTTCTCCTTGATTGTCATAGTCTTTTCTCTCCTCCAAAAATTTCTAAATTGCAGCTGTTCCGTGTCAGCGTCAGCGCTCTCCTATTGTGAAGTTATGTTTTCTTTTTGAATTGTACGAAATTTCAGGCTGATAAAGCATGATATAAATCAAAATCATGAACAATTTGATGCTAATAGATATTTGTGACATGAACCTTAAAATGGACCGCTGACACGGAACAGTAGAAAACTATGGAAATCAAGGAGGCCATAAAGGAGTCCTGCAATTGTAGGAACGACTGACGATACGGCCCTAAAACCGTGGAAGAAAAAATAATTTCTACATAGGGCCATATTCGAAAATTTTTTCCAAATTTAAAAACTATTTTTTTTTTTAAATATTCAATTTCGATATTTTCACCAATAGTATTTTATTGTCCTCGGACCTTTAAATATTGCGAAACATACATACATACAGGTTAGGGGATCCAATCTCGTCAGATATTCGAATCCCGGGATTTCGGGATTGTCATTCTTGTAATCCCTGGAATCCCGAGACTGGTCCCGGGATTTAAAATTGACCGGTTTAAGCGCCTCATAGCAGCCGCGGTGCACTGGTATTTAGGCTTCTGCTGGCTGCTTTGGTATATAAAAAATTCATCAATTTTTCCAAATTTTCAAATTATTTTCCATGTTCTTGAATCTTCTAATCATTTTCCAAATACTCAAATTAATTTTTTTCCAAATTTAAAAACTATTTTTTTTTTAAATATTCAATTTCGATATTTTCACCAATAGGATTTTATTGTCATCGGACCTTTAAATATTGCGAAACATACATGCATACAGGTTAGGGGATCCAATCTCGTCAGATACTCGAATCCCGGGATTTCGGGATTGTCATACTTGTAATCCCTGGAATCCCGAGACTGGTCCCGGGATTTAAAATGGACCGGTTTGAAACTCCGTTTTTTTAATAGGTAGAACAGCCGCACGGGGCGAAGCCTAAATACCAGAGCAATCTCAAATAATGTGAATAAATTCATGTTTCTATTAGGGTTGACAGATGTCCGACTTTAGGTAGAAAAGTCCTCTTTTTTATTAGCTTCTCTTTTCCCCCAATATTATGACACTTCAATGATAGCTTTATTTCCTTTATAGAAAAGTTTCGATGTATTTTTGTTTTCTGTTTATTTTTATATTACTACATAATATATGCATTTTAGATCTGTTTCATGATTATTATTGTGTTGGGAATGTACATGTTGATTTTCTATAATTTAGACATTTTCCGCTACGAAAAAGCATTGATATCGCTGTAAAATCATAGTTCACTAATTGCGAACACAGGTTCTTTGTTCATGATAAGGAATCCTGTTGAATAATGTGATCAGACTTCCAATCATTTCGGGGTACATCCGGCATCGGCGCTAAGGTGTCCCGTCTCCTATCTCGTTCTCACTTGTTCACTCGTAACTAGGTCGGTCGGATCATCGGGATCCTGTTATACCATTTATTCATGGTGAACGAGTGACTGAGCTTCTCAAGGAACGATGAACTAGTTCACTTAGTTCAGTCATAAGAATTGTTCGCGAACTACACATCACTACTCGAGACACCAGAGTACGCCCGCCACATTTCCGAGCATGCATAGTGCTGGTCGCTTTATTCAGGATTGGGCCGTATTTTTGAGGAAGCAAACAATATTGCAATCCGGGGACCGAAATTATAATCCTGGGATTTCTCGGGATTCAAAATCCGTCGTTTTTGTACGGGATCCCGTAGTCCCGGGATTGGGTCCCCTGATACAGGTCAAACTAATAAAGACGGGTTAAAAAGGCGAACATCAACGCTAAAATATAATCCGTCATGTTAGCGGTAAGCGTAAGCGGTAGCGTTAACGGTATAGAAAAATGGCCGAATTTACAAGTATGAGTACTTTGAAAACGGCAAAAAAGTGGTTCGTATGAGAATGCAATAACATGTTTTGAAGAAATAGAATAGTTGATCTTACCTCACTGTTAACTCGTTCATCATCCTCAACGGCAGCTCATGCGGTTCTGGAACAGGTCTGACATATTTTGGAACATATTCCTCTTTCCGACCAACCTCATCACTTTCACCGCCAATGCATCGCATTTGTGGTCCAGGAGGGGCATCGTTAGTATGGCTGTATAAGTAGTTCCCAGTAGCTCCATTATAAGGAGGATCTGAATGGTGAGTGAACTGTGGACGATTAAATCCGTAGTTAAGGCTGCCACCTAAAATATTATTTATAACTGTCGATTAATTCAGCTTATGGTATAAAAAAACTGTTATTGGTGATCCAAAGATGAGTTTGCACCTCTACTTCCGAACTGCGGAAAAGCTAAGTAGCTAGAAAGGCTATAGGGATAAAGACGATGTTAAGTAATTTTTTCTGATACAGCAACTGTGGTACATTTAAATATGGTTTGACATTGAGAAGTAAACAGACGTCATATCGGAAGTGTGTACACAAATATTAACTTTCAAATGTATTTTTTTGTGTTATTTGTTCCCCATATCTGCCTAGACTTTTTGTTAGGATTTAATTTGTTCTGTATAAAATTATATGTGATATAACATTAAGCTCCTTGTGTTAGTTATGTTCATGATCAGATGTTGCCTAGTGGTTATGTCTCGGATAGACTGCTCCAAGGTTTGGTTGTTAGCGCGATTGCAAATATCTGGTTCACCAACGGCAAATCATCCACACCATAGTTCCTGACACTAAACGGTGAAAGGTTCCTAATCCACTCACCTCCTCCAGGACATTGACATATGTCACTGCAATAACTCACGGATTTTCTCTCTGGTGGGTATTTATATCCCTTGGTTTCCGGGGCCTCAAAATCCATATAATTATTTAGCATACGTTCAGGGGGTCTAGCTGATTCTTCGTAACTACAAACTTTATTGTGACTGTAACCTTGACTGCCCTGACTTCGAGGTGGATTACTATGCCCACACACTCTGAAAAATATAAAATCTCTATTAGTCCAACCGATTCAAAAATCGCTTATCAGTTTGAAGTAAACATTTGCAAGGTATATGCTGTTTTTTTTATGGAACTTTCAGATAAAATTGCGCCATAATGAGCTAAAATTAAACGTTCCTGCACCAAACTGTTTTACTTGGATCTGACTACCGCAACAGGCCTTTGGCACAATACTGCACAGTAATGCAACTCCCTAAAAATTAGACTGAATCTATGGGCGAACCTCTATGCCCTTAGGGCGACATAATGTCGTGTAGTCTCCGCCAGGTACACGTTTCAAACAATTCGTTATACTCAGCAGCCGAAGTGAAAGCATTGATTATCATATTCTTCGGGAAGATTTTTTTTATACTCCAACTACCACGAAGGCCTAAACACCCATGGGGTACCATAGGGCTCTACGGGAATACAGCGGAAAGGGGGAACGCCATACGGACTCTGGCGAGGGAACACGTGTGCATGCAACATGCCAACATTCTGGCCCTGCCTACGAGATCCGCCGGTTGGTACCTCCGCGTTCGACAGTCAGAGACCGTCTACCACCTACGGACAATCAGAAAATCCATAGCCAAGAGAAAAATTTTCTCCTGGGACGGGATTCGAACCCGCACAGCGCACGGCGACTGATCAGGCGACCAAAGAGTCTACATCTGCGGGCATAGCTGCTGCCTGAATAGTCAACCATGTACTCTATTTCCAGCTTCCAGCCAACTATATGAACATATACAGGTCAGGTCTTCAGTAGTTTTCGGCAATTCAACGGTGGCCTTGAATTTGACATTCATTGGGACCTCGGTTGGCCGCGTGGGTCAGAGTGTCGTGCTACTGATCAGCCGGCCGGCCGGGCCGCGAGTTCGAATCTCGCCTTCGCCATGGATGTTGTGTGTTTGTTTTAGGCAGCAGCGGTGGCCGCAGTAGTAGACCCTTCGGTCTCCTGATCAGCCGCCGTGCGCTGTGCGGGTTCGAGTCCCGTCCCAGGAGAAATGTTTCTCTTGGCCATGGATGTTGTGATTGTCCGTAGGTGGTAGATGGTCTCTGACTGTCGAACGCGGAGGTACCACCCGGCGGTTCTCGTAGGCGGAGCCAGAATGTGTGCATGTTGCATGCACACGTGTTCCCTCGCCAGAGTCCGTGTGGCGTCCCCCCTTTCCCATGTATCCCCCATAGCCCCACGGTACCCAATGGGTGCTTAGGCCTTAGGCCTTCGTGGTAGTTGGAGTATAAAAAAAAAATTAATTATCAATGTTAGTTCTTGGTCTTTATTTTTTCAAATAGAAACTCCTATTTTTGAAACCGAAAAATCTCTATAAACCTCACAAGATGAGTGACGAAAATAACTATCAAGGTCAGGTCTTTGGTAAATTTTAACGAGAAAGTGAACGCTGACCTTGGATTTGACCTTAACCTCCACCTTTAAGGTTATTCCTAACTCAAATTTTTATAAAATTTTCTCTTTTTGATGCCGACGATCGAAAGAGTGGAAAATATTTTACGTTCAATACGTATTGAACAAGGTTGTGGGGACCACTAAAGGTCAAATGGCGGTGCTGCTAGGAGAACCTACCTTACAGTATTAGTAATGTAAAGTTCGTTAGTAAATTTTGACGATTTATCTTGGATTTGACCTTAAAACTCATCTTCAATGCATTTCAAGGCCAACTTATTTTTTTAATGGCAACCTCTATTTTTGTGCCAACATTCGAAAGGGCGGAAAATTTTACATTCGAATATGTATAAAAATTCAAGATCAAGATGACCGCTGGAAGTCAAATAGGTTAAATAAAGGTCAAATACGTACCGCTAAGAAAACCTCTAGAAATCTCGCAGAAATCGTGGCGAAAACAACTAGAATGGTCAGGTCTCAAGTAAATTTTTACAAGTAGCGGTGATCTTAGATTTGACTTTGAACCTCACCCTCAAAGTCGGTTCAAGGTCAATAGAAGCGCCTATGTGATGCCGACAATCTAGAGAGCCAGTAATATTATGTTAAAATGTATATTAGAATTTAATGTCAAGGTGACAACTAGAGGTTAAAGGCCAAATATGTGCTGCTAGGAAAGCTTCTCATACGAATAGGGACGAAAATAACTGGAAAGATAGGATCGTTTAGTAAGTTGTAACGGAGGAACTACGTTGCTCGTTAATGATTATTTGAAAAAATGACCTTGAAGATGAGGTTCAAGGTTAAATTTAAGATCACTCGTCAACATTTACTACAGACCTGACCTTGATAGTTATTTTCATAAGTAATATCTCAAGGGCATCTAATTTTTCCGGAAAAAATCGAAAAAAAAACACGTTGCTAAGAAATATTTTAACAAGAAGCATGATTTTTGCACGTGCACAAATGTTTTTTGTTAAAAAATATCACTTTGCATTCTTTTTTCGACTTTTTTCACAGGAAAAAGTTAGATGCCCGAATGGTATTTGACAAGACTATTTAAAATTATTCTGCATACACATAGCTTACAAAACATACTACCTATTATACATGCATACATATTCCGTAAACTGTTGCCATATTGACGTATGGGTTTTAACGGCTTGTACGGTACACTTTTCTCAATCGCCAGATCAATATTAGTAAAAGAATCACTTCCAAAGCGATTCATTTTCACTACACTGTTTGAAAACAATATTACAAAATTAATTGACAACAAAATCAGAAAAATTGTTCAGCGTCGCTTTCTGGTGTCCTAGAAAACCATAATTACTTGTTATCAAAGGTATTGTGATTTTTGGTTACAACAGCTGTCAAGTTTTGCCGCGGATAAACTCGAAAAAACTGCTGACAGGTTGCATACAATTTTTCCATCTAGAATTCAAATTTGCGCGATTGCGATTGGTAAAAATTAAGACGAGGGAAATGGTGATTACTACCGTGTGAGATTTATAGAGGTTTTTCTTATCTTGTTTTGACCTTTAGTAGCCATCCTGACCTTGAACTTTGTATTCCAAAGTAAAATTTCCTGTTATATCGATTGCCGGCCTCAAAAATATGGGTTTCTAATTGAAAAAATAAAGTTGACCGTAAATTAACCTTCAAGTTGAAGGTCAGGGTCAAATTCAAGGTCACCGTTGAATTCGTTGCTGAAAGTCACCTTGATCTTTTCCAAAAATACCCTACCTGAGAAAATACAGGGCCGTTCCGGGACTTTTGGTTCACGCTGTATGATTACTCTTATATATATATAAGTAGATATGAGCATATACAGGGTGAGTTTTTAGTAAGAACTCAACTAATAACTCCATTATTATGCATAGTACCTACATAAATTAACTGCAAATATTGTAGCTGCTCTTTGCTCTTTACTTTTTACTCTACATGGCGATTCATAACTACGTGCTGACTCAAACATACATTTTTTAAATGGAAAAACCTACATTTTATTCCAGAACTGGATATGTCCTTTTAAATGAAACAATTTTATATTACATAATATAGGTTTTGATTTTCAAATCGAGATATTTGTTGGAAAAATCGTTTAACTTTGACAAATCGTATCTGCTCAACTGTTACAGCTGAAGTACTAAATTTTCCGGCAGAAGAATTTTATAATCCCACATTTTCTTCCTTGTGCACTTACCTTTTCAGTTTTATTGATAGTTTATATATGGCTAAAAACGCAAAATGAACGATCTACCAAAATTGTCAAATAGAACACCCTGTATATTTTCACACCTTTTGATTTCCCTGTTCACATGCTTTCATTTAATATAAGCTTTTTGGGGGTTTGTTGTTGATAGAAAAATGTTACAGTGCCATTTAAAAATAAAAAATTTCACTACATATTTGGGAAAGGCAGATCGTTAGAATTCACTATAAATTAAATTTACCCAACCTTATGCAATAAAGTCGAAAAGTGAGGACGTCCCTGTGTTTTTAATAATACAATAATCAGTCATATAAACCGTTATAAACCTTACATCGGAAAAAACTTGTGAAAACGGGAATCAAATAATGTGAACATATACAGGATGTTCCATTTGAAAATCTTGAGAAGTAGTTGATTTCGCGTTCTTGACCACCCTGTATAAACCCTAGAAAAATCTGAAAAAGTAAGTAAACAGGAAAAAATATGGGATCATAAAATTTTCTGCCGACAAAATTGAGAAGCCCAGATATTATAATAGTCACGAAGGTACGAATTGTCAAAGACGAGTGTTTTTTCAATGGATTGTCCAATATCTCAAGAATTTGAAAAACAAACACCAAGGATTTTTTCGCGAGTTCACGGTGTAGCACAGTGCACTACCGGGAACAGATACTCAAATTTTCGCGAAGAACGGGAATAGGGGAAGACGGATGGGACGTCATCCAAATGTCAAAAAATCACGTGGTACGGGTAACCGCCTAACGTCGGTGAGGTACTAGCGGGTGACAGGTCTTATGTCAATGTCATTTAAAAAATAGATATCTCAATTGAAAATTTGTCTTCGCAGAGACGAAAATTGAGTTAAATTATTAAATCATAAATGGAGGAACACGACCACCTGATTTTAAATGACGAGGGAGAAGGTCATTGACGTTATAGGAACCCCACTTATCATATCAAATGGTTGATTTTATTGATATATATATATACAGGGTGACTTTGAAGTTGAGTCATTAATTTTCAGATAATGATTGTAGAAGGAAGATAAACCAAAATATGTGTGTAAAAATAAAAAAAAATGTTACCTTGTTTTATAAAATATTTCAGTGCGGACCTGTATTTGATCGTGCGGTCTTGGAGCACCGGCATGCCTTCCCCTGTGAGGTCTTAAGTCACCTAATTTACGAGCCTTTTGTACTACATTAACAAAGGCACGAGGGGTTGGTTGCACTCGATTGGGAAACCGATCCGCATAAATCCGTGATGCCGCGGCAGCATTTTGTAAAGACCCCCCCTCCCCGTAAATAAGAATCATGTCCACATGTTCAGCATTTTCGTAAACATGTGCCATTTTTTATTTCGTTTGCGCCACGCAACAAACACCACTATTCACTCATGCGTTACCGACTGACACATTGACTGAATACAACTGAATAAAATTGTAGTAAAAACATCGTGATAAGCGTTTCAAATTCTTTCGCTTTTTGCTTCCAATGCGATGAACCGATAAGGCGGATTATATCCGTTGTTGCCAAACACGAGCACATAATATTATTGAGACAGGGCGGTACTCAAACTTCTAAAGGGCTATAACTTTGTTACTTTAATTTTACCAGAAAAATGTTGAAGGAAAAAACATTTCTTTTGATCAGATCTACTCACTGTTAAAATATATGACTCAACTTCGAAGTCACCCTGTATATAATTTAACATTTAACTGATACCGTAAATGTACGAAAATTGAATCATTTTTTATCACCAAACAATACACGGAGCCACCATAAAACCTTAACAGAAAAACCTGACCATTTTATCACTTGTTATTCATGGCAAGATAAATCAATATGTAAAAAATTCTTGAATTCTAATAAACATACGTAGGTGTTTACCTTTTTTGTCACTCAGTATAATTAACTACAGTAGATTTCTAATTATTGCAGAAAAGATAAAAATAGCTGTGACAAATTCTCATAGATCACGCCAGGATATTTCATTTTATCTCGGCTAATCTTTTGAGCGTCGAAATACATGGTGGGCATTTTCAGGTGGATTCTGTTGATCAATGGTGAAAATCAGCTGCCGCGATCATCTACACAATAAAGACGAATACGCATAATGCTACGCATTTGATAAGGATAAGACAACATTCTACGGAAAAAAGTACTGTTTTGTCAACTTAACCTTTCATTTTCACAACTCCTAATCATCCCTTTCTCTAAAGAAGCATGAGGGTTTCCACAAGGCAAACAGTCACTGTTAGTCCTCCTGACTTGCTGATTGTAGCTGCAATGCACTGATCCGGTCTCACAAAAAGCACTGTCATCCCGTTTACTAGACATTGTGTGAATGCCGCTGTCGTGGATCAAATGCGAAGGTACGTTCCTGCTCCTCTTTATGAATGGATGTTCCAGAATTTGATCCAGGGTGATGCGGTCTTTCGGATTCTTCTGGAGCAGGTTGTTAATCAGATCCTTAGCTTCGGACGACAGATGATCGGGTAGGGTATAGCTTGACAAAACGACCTTAGTCAATGTGCTCTTGACGGCAGGCGTGTCGAATGGTGGAGAACCGACCTTGAAAAGATGGAATATGTTTTTTATACAGTTTTACCTTAGAAGAAAGTCGAATAAATGTTTAGCGGAAATAGAAACCTTACCTTAGTCTCTGTGGGCAGAAATACACTTTTACACCGAAGCAGCCGCGCAGGCAGAAGCCTAAATGCCAGGGCACCGCGGCTGCTATGAGGAGCTTAAAGAAAATTTGTTGATCCAATTTTTGAACTGTCCAAGGTTAGCAGAATTGGGAAAAGTGTCCTCATGTAGACTGTTCCGGAATCTCAATACCCTACGGACAAAGGAGCGGTACTATCGGCCAGTTCTGGATGAACGAAGTTCGACATGGTTAGGATGGGAGACTGTAGTCAGGTGGGTCTGTCCGTTAAAAAAGAGTTGTCCAGGTCTCTCGTCAGAGAGAAAGTCGATGCATATTGTGAGTTCACGTGATTTTTATTATATCGTTAAGTCCTCTGAGTACACTGAATGGTTTGTTCGTGCAGTAGTCGGTAACTTGTCGGTGACTGTCAAAATCAGAATCAGAGAGATGTTACCTTCTGACAGATCAGAGGACACCACTCAACCAGCGACAATGACAGGTATCAGAATGTGTCAAACTGGCCGATACGACCGCTTCTTTGACCCGAGGGTATCGAGATGGTGTAGCAGTCCACATTAGGAGCTTTTCCCATTTCTACTAACTTTAAGCAGTTCAAAAATAGGAATAACAAAGTTTCTTTAAACAGCCGCGGTGCCCTGGCGTGTAGGCTTCACCTGCGCGGCTGCTTCGGTGTAAAAAAAACTGAGTAATATACCAAGATGAAGACATTGAAGATCTACTGAAGAGAATGAAACCCAAAAACCTGAATTTTGTGGACAAAACAGTGCCATAATTCAACAGCAACAAGTTTTTCTAACATTTTCGGGTGAGCAAAAGAAATTTTAATGAAATTCCGTTTTAAATATCGGGCAGCGTCAAAGTGCTTTGTGCTCAATATTTTGTTTATTGACCCGGTAAGGGCAAAATGAAGATTATGAATAAATTATGAAAAATCCGAACAATAGAGGACATAACTTTCAAGAACCATAATTAATACGATTTTTGTGATCACTAATCGTTTGCAAATGTTTGTTACAGTTGCAAAATGCGAAATTACGCGATTTAAGCCTTACTTCTATGTATTTTCTTAGTATCAGTTCTTTTTACCCATGTTGGGAACTTGTAAAACTTGTAGCTATGTAAGCAGATCTTGATAATTCAGCCGTTTTAGCTTTTTAGTGTTTTGTTATTTACACATTATTAAATCCTTGTAGTATTTTTACTTCTTTCTTCTAGTGTGAGTCTGAATATACAGGATGTTTCAAATTCGGCACTCACCATTTGGATCTTGGAAAATGTAAGGGATACGAAGTCGTTCAAAAGGGGTTGTCAACAAAATGACACTTAGAAAGTTTCGAAATTCAAAGTACTTCCGGGGAGTGACGAAAAAACTGAATTTTCCCAAAATCGTTTTGATTTCTTCCTGACTTTATATTGGGATTTTAAAAAAAATCCACATTAACAGTGCCACGTTTTCTCCTTTACAAGAAGGCCTAATCAGAAATTCTATATGACGGTTCGTCATTTTTGCACAAATGATTGATTCAAAAAATGCATAAAAGTCATACACTGACGTTACCAAACCTTAGTTACATCAAAAAACCGGAATTTCTTAGGTACTCCTGGAAATTATCAGATGTTTGTTTCGCTCACCAGATTTATCCCAAAATCGCTTTATTTTTTTCTGACTATTTGAAATGGGATTTCAAAATAAATTACAGATTGTTACTTATTCTCGTCTACAAGATGGCGTAGTCAAAGTTTCAATTCGACATTTCTTCTTTCTACTTCCATCATCAATTTTGTTTTTTCATATGGAAACTATATTTTAATTTTGTACATTTAAATGAACTTTTCAACCCTAAATTCAGTGATGTATTTCGTTAGTTGACCATACATTTGTTGTAGGGTGAAAATTATAAGGAAATAAAAAGATATGGTGAAACCTGAAGACGAAATGAAAATTTTATTGATAGTATTAACAATAATAACCATAAATAAGCAGAGGTCTACACAGTCTTCCAGCCTCTGTTGCTATGCAAACAAATCAAATCTGATAATTTCAATGCCTACCTAGGAACTTCTGGAATAACTAAGGTTTTGCAATGTCAATGTATGACATATCAGAATAAAAATTCTGTTCATGTGTGTAAAAATCCAATATGGCGTCTATAAGAAAAAAATAAATTGATGCTGGAGGACAAGAGATGAAACGTCATATTGAAATTATAATTGTGCCATCTTGTAGAGGAGAAAATGTGGCAGAGTTGATGTGTAATTTATTTTGAAATCCCACCACAAATACAGTCAGGAGAAAATTAAAACCATTATGGGAAATTTCGTTTTTTACGTCTCTTTCCGGAAGTACTTTCAATCTCAAAACTTTCTAAGCGACATTTTGCTGATTATCTGAATACACAACTTTTACCCTATTTAAGCGACTTCGTATCCCTTAAAGTTTCCGATGTCCCAAAGGTGAGGGTCGAATTTGAAATACCCTGTATAGGGAAAATACTCGGGAAAATATTACTTTCACCCCAGCAGAAACAGTAGGCCACTCCCTCTCCGTGGGCATCCGTGAAAAAAAGCTGTATTGCAAAATCTCCAGAATTCAATATTTAGTTTTTTTTTACTGTTTGTGCATACACTTCGAGGCTGGGCGACAAGAGAACAGGGAACAAAAACCTTACTATCCGATTTTTATTAAAAGTCCTTCACAATACTTTGTACATTTCTCATGCATAATCACAGCAGACGTTTATTCAAAATTCTTACTATGTATTTACTTCTTCAACTTGTCATTCGAAGTGCGGAATCATATTTCTTCGAATTTATGTGTATACTTTTTAAATGAGAATTGAATGGGAATTAGTATATAAATCTACTTAAGATTTTTGGGTGCTGTTATTTTTTCTAGAAAGTGTCCATGTTTTCTTCTCTAGATGGAAATTCTGGCACATTCTGGCAGTTGGACGAAAAATCCTAGATCATTCTGGTTTAAAGCAAATGAACATACCCCAACTTTTCCAACATTGTCTACTTCATTCTGAAAAATTTTACATTCGAATAATTATTGTACTTGACAATTTACTGGCAAATTATCTGCTGACAGCTAACGGCGTTAACTAGGTCATGACTTGTCGCTGACTATCAGTTTGCTGATTGTCAGCAACCAGGATGTACGAACAAACGAAAAGACGAGTTAGTTTTCGTAAAATGGCGGAAGGCTGGCGTGCCCACAGTGGCTAAGACTCCGGTCTTTGACACCATGTATCTCGAGAAGATAGTATTTCTGGGCTTTGCCTCTATCGGAACATTTGATCAGCCCAGCATGAATTATATCGCTATACGAATTTTCATCAAAACTTAACGCTGGTAAAATTCCATATGTTTTGTACCTGGTACTTTGTTCATACTCTACCCAGTCTATACATTTTCTAGAAAATGGTTTTGCACATTGGAGATTGGCATTCAGACAAGATATGTTGTATCCTTCTTACTAAATATATTTTTACACCGCCTCTCTTTATTAATATCTTCAGAACAAGTAGTGATTACTTGAACTATTCCATCCTCTGACAATTTTTGGAATATTTCATTTCAAAATATAGGACAACCAAAATTTTGGAAAAAAGATCTTATTAGGAAGAAACACATCTGAAGGTTCTTAATCTATAAAAACTTTAAAACAACTACCTCTAGACAGAAAGTAAAGCTCCAATGTCAACTCATAGACCGTCGGGATTTCGGGGTATTTTGCAAAATTTTTCTCTCGCCTCCAAATAGTATATGGAAAGTGTTTTCACTTGTCACTCCTTCTCCAAGGTTCAAACAAAATTTCCTACAATCAACTGTGATGAAACAAATTCTAGCGTGATCTATAATAGGTTCGCAGGTTAACGGCTTGACATAGAAGGTTCTCGTTCTATCTGTACCCGGAATAAAAATTTAAATCGAAGCGAACTTTGAAATATGACTTGAAATAGTCCGAATAATCATCCACTGAACGATTGTCTCATGCTTGAATAATGTTGCATGATTCAATCTGAAATCCAAATGTTTTCAAGACAATGCTGCTATCACTTACCAATAAAGTATATAAAAGACATCCAAGGCCCCATACATCGGCTTCCAACCCATGGGAGCCGCGAGAAGCAACCTCTGGTGATATGAAGTTTGGAGTCCCACACATAGTCATGTGCTTTTCATCTGGTCTAGACAGTTGGGTAGCCAGACCAAAATCTGCTATTTTCTAAAAAAAAATGTATGAGTTCATAAAGATTTTTCACTTAATACTAAGAACGCTGAAAATCAATGAATATATAAAAGTACATAGGGCTAGAAACAGGATAGATAGAACCATAACCACAAATCTTTGGGTTGCTGCAATGGGATGTCTATTGGATACAGTGCAAAAGACAACTCAACAGTCCAGCTGACTTGGTTGTCCTAAAAGTTTTGACACAAAGCTAGTTATCATAAATTACAACTCAATACTTGATTAAACTATACTATCGAATTATGTGGAGTGGCCCATTCTGCTCTACCAGACGCAACTTTCTTCAAATGTCTCTCATGAGGTCCTGGACGGAATTAAGAACAATTTCTCTCAGGTTGTCGTAAATTCGTCTTAATTGTTCTTCATCTTGGGCTTCCCAGCCTCCATGATAAACCTTCCTAGACAGTAAAGCCCAAAAATCCTCTATTGGGCGAGACTGCGGCAAGTTTAGAGGATTATCGTTTTTGGGAACAAAAGGTATCTTGGGTTGTCGAAGCCAGTTTTTGGAGTATTTTGAGTAATAACATGATGCTAGGTCTTGCCAAAACATGATATAGTCATTGGCATGATGTTTGTGGACAAACTGAAGCAATTTGGAAAGGCAGTTATCAATATAATAATAATAATAATAATATTTATTTACTCAATGTACAAAGATAACAAACAATATGAGTAAATAAATATAAAATCAAAACAGGCCCAATAGAAGGCATCGCCTGTACATGGACCAATAATTTAAGTTGAAACTGTAGAATGCAAATGACAAAAAAGGACAAAAATTAGCTACAGTAGATTATGTATTTAGTTGATGTTCGTATTTATGAGTTTATGAATTTCAGTTCTAGATATAGAATGTAGCCACTTTTTTAAATTTCTTTTGAAACAATTTCCGAAACGTAAATCTTTTAAGTCTTTAGGTATAATTTCATAAAATTTAGGCGCTAAATAGAGATATGATCGCTGCATTATAGATTTATGCGGTTGAGGAACTACTGTGCCACGAATTTTGTATCTGGTATAATGATTATGTTTAATTTTTTGGTCGATGTTTACAAATTTATGGTAGTGAGTGATACTGTGTAAGAAATAAAGCTGTCTTATATCATACATTCGAACATCTGCATATAATTTTTCAGTGGGATAAAGTTTCGGTTTTTTAAATATCATTTTTAGAATACTTTTTTGAAAAACATCTAAATTATAGATATGTGAGGAACATGCAGCTCCCCATGCTAATATACCATATGTTAGATGAGGCTCAATCAGTGCATGGTATAATGTTTGAAGATATTTTTCTGTCAATATATTCCCAAGGTATTTAATTTTATATGATACAAATCTAACTTTCTTTAAAATATAATTGACATGGATGTCCCATCGTAAGTGAGGATCCAAGACCACTCCAAGGTATTTTATGTTGGGCACTCTATTAATTTGCATTTTTTGATTATTAATATTGAAGGAGAAATTTGTGTAATTTGGCAGATGTCTAGCATAAGATCCAAATGGTAAAAAATGTGTTTTAGAGTAGTTAATGCTTAATTTTCTACTGTTAAACCACCGAATAATTTTGATAAAATCATTTTCAATTACATTTTTCAGATCAGACCAGTCAGTGCCTTCATATAATATTGCAGTATCATCTGCAAAACTAGTTATTTTGCCAACACAATTAATTTGGAAAATATCATTTAAATATATATTGAATAACAGCGGACCTAAGACAGTTCCTTGTGGGACACCACACTTAATATACATTTCTTTACTAAATGATCCTGATATCTGCACAGATTGTGGGCGATTTGACAAATAACTTTCGATCAGCGAGTACGCGTTTCCTCTTAAACCAATTCTCTCCAATGCTTCTAATAATAGTTTGTGATTAACTGTATCGAAAGCTTTCTTTAAATCAACAAAAATGCAGATTGAAGGGATTCTGTTATCAATATTTTGATATATTTGATTTACAATTTTAGTTATAGCTCTGACTATTCAAAGTTTCACCCCTCACTCTTCCCACAAAAGGTTGGGGTACACCCCTGTTAGAAATTGAGCACCAGACAAGGATTTTATCTGCAAATGTTGCTTTATGTTTGTATCTAGCATTGTCAGGGCATTCCTCTCTCTACGTTGTACGTATAAAACCCGTCGTTTCCTTTCATTTCAGAATTACTCAAAGTGAAATACTTTCTGTCATCTAAAATAATGATTTTTCCATTGGCAAAGTTGACGACGCCATCTTGGTATACGAAGGAGTTGCGCTTGAGAGAATTTGGGGCACTTGAGTGTCTTCGATATTTCAGACCATTCCTAGTCAATTCCAACGATATCGTACTCTGATAAGATCTGTATTGACGAGCCAGTCTCCTTGTTGACATTACAACCTGATTGTTTGCTCTTCTCACCAATCTCTCTGACGTCTGTTCAGTAAAGGCACGTGGTCTTCCACTTTTTGTGAGATTCAGACATGGTATTCCCTGCTCACACTCCGCTATTGTTCGATAAATGGTTCTGCGTGAAATGCTTTTATTCTGGAATATTCGACCGATTTCAGCTATGGGTACCCGCCCAACCAGCTTATAGATACTTTTTCTTATTTCCAATTTATACGAGATCTTAAAGCGAAAACTAACTAAAGCCAATGAATTTTGTGCCAAAACTTTTAGGACATACGTTAACTTATAACCCCACATCGATGTTTAGTATGTTTGCTCAGAGAGTATTTTACTATTAATAATGATAGGAAGTTTTTAGTGTTCCACGTATGCTTGCGATGATCGCTGTTCGCCGAGAAGTTAACATCTTGTAGAAAAACCTAATAAATGTTTAAAAAATGCTACAAAATAAAAAAACCGGTCGAAATGTCACGTTTTACGAAACGTAATACCCGTGCCAGATGACTATTTTGAATAATAGTAAATATAGCAACTATTCCAAAAATGATTTAACGCCTGGACGAAATTGGTGCACAGGACTAGTATATAATTCCGTTTTTGTACAGGAACTGTACCGTACATCTGGTGATTAGTACTGTCGGTTTTTTACAATGCGCACTTGGTCCATAATGATCATTTTTCAAAGTAGTTGTGAAAAAGATATGTGACTTGATAATTTGATTCTAAAACATTACTAAATCTTTATTAGTTTACATAAATTTGTAAGTATATATTATCTCCAGATTTAAATAAATCTGCAAAAAAATACTCACCACTTGCATATCCTTTGTCAAAAGCAGATTTGATAAAGATAAGTCTCTGTGTAAGATGTTGTATGAGTGCAGGTACTTGATGCCTTCAACAACCTGAGCCATTATGTTGCTAACTTCGTTTTCTGAAAGTACCTGCAAAGATACAAAATACAATGGTAGATTGAAGAAGTACATATTACTTAAAACGCACCTCACTAAAATGAATACTACTGAAATCTCACGCTTATAATCAGTATTTTCATGCTTTTCTAGGTGGAGACAAGAATCTCAGAGTCTGCACCGATTAACCATCTTAGCTTCCCAAATTACGAGGTGCACGCCAATCGGAGAAAGAACGGGGGAGTTGTGGCTTTTGTCTCTCCTGCTCTAGAGATGTTTCTTTGGAATCAGACCGGAAGGACATTCTGTGGCTTCGCCTCAACTCCAATCACCCAAATTTATTTGCTACCTTTACCGCTCTCCCTCGGACCATAACTGGGATGACCTACTTGAATACCTCGCGGTCAAGATCGACTTCCTGAATATAAATCACCGCGCTTCAGAGGTAGTTCTTCTCGGTGATTTCAATGCCCATAATGAGCTTTGGTTGGGCTCAAACAAGACCGATGCAGCAGGTCGTGCAGTCGAAGCGTTCGCTCTTACTCAATGGCCTGACCCAGCTGGTGACGAGCGGTACTTTTTTCCTCGCGTCTCGTCACATGCCAGTAGCCTGCTGGGTCTCTTTCTGACCACGCATCCTGTCCCTTACAGCACTGCTGTCCTGTCCCCCCTGGGTAACTCAGACCTCGGTGTTGTGGAGGGTAGGTTTCCTTGGAGAGATGTCTGATTCACTAACGCGGATGCGTCGGCTGTCTGTTCTTCGATAACCGAAATTATCCACGTCGGAATGGAGGAATACATCCATCACACAGTGAAAGTGTCTAACCCAGGGTCTAATGGCTAGTTTAACAAATCATGTGACACTGCTCGCCAGCAACAGAACAAGGCACACGAACCATCTTACAAAACCCCACTGGAGAGAACAGCCAACGTCGAGTCCAGAAACAAATATAACGAAGCGGTTCGCAATGCCAAAAACCAGCACGATATCAAAGTTAGGCACAGGGTAATATTGCAGCGCAATGGCAGTCGGTCTTTCTGGACGCTGGCCAAGCATACTGAAAAGAACTTCTCACACAGTAGACTTCCACCACTTACGTGTCAGGATGGAACGATTGTATCCTACTTAAAGGCCAAAACGGAAGTGCTTGCCAAGGTGTTTGCTACCAACTCCACCATGGCCTACATTATTTATGCTCGATGCTGTCCAGAGGAGGGCGGTTCAACTGATCGATGACTCTTCTCTAACAGACAGTCTCGGGACTCTTTCGCACCGGCGGGCCGTCGGTGATCTAGCTTTTCACCGCTACACCAACGGGCTTTGCTCCTCAGAGCTCTCCTCCAAGATGCCGCCGCGCGATGTGCTTACCAGACAGACCGGCCTGTCGAACTTCGTACATTCAGAACTGGCCGATACGACCGCTCCTTTGTCCCGAGGCTGTCGAGATTGTGGAACAATCTACAAGAGGAAGCTGTTCCCAGTTGTACTAACCTTAGACAGTTGAAAAATCGTATTAACAAAATTTCTTTGGATCATCATAGCAGCCGCGGCATTTAGGCTTCTGCTTGCGCGGCTGCTTCGATATAAAAAAAAATTTCAAGTCAACATTTTTAATATCAAAGTTATAAAATGAGAAAATTATCCATCGTTCATTAATGATCCAATGACATTGAAAAAAAAAACAAGAAAATATATGTCTTGACAAGCAACAACGGCTTTTAAAAGATCCTTTCCACAACTAGCGCCTAATTTGTTCAACAGGATTCCCATCACGCTTAAAACCAACTCTCAGTGCTTTCAAATCTGGAGTCATTGATCTGATTCTTGGAACTGATTTTGTTTAATTTTATTTGATTCTAAGGCTGTGACTAAGTGTTTTGTTTGTGATTTATGTTTTGCCTATGTATGTATTAATAATTTTTTAAATATGTCTTCAATAATTTCACTTCATTTTCTTTTACTTTATGCTAAGTACTCTTCCTTTTTTTGTTATTCTGTGATAAAATAAGTACTTTTCTGAATGTTTTTTTTATACTTCAACTACCACGAAGGCCTAAGCCTAAACACCCATTGGGTACCGTGGGGCTATAGGAGGGTACAGGGGAAAGGAGGGACGCCACACCGACTCTGGCGAGGAAACACGTGTGCATGCAACATGCACACATTCTGGCTCCGCCTACGAGATCCGCCGGGTGGTACCTCCGCGTTCGACAGTCAGAGAGCGTCTACCACCTACGGACAATCAGAACGTCCATAGCCAAGAGAAAGATTTCTCCTGGGAAGGGATTTGAACCCGCACGGCGACTGATCAGGAGACCGAAGACTCTACTACTGCGGCCACCGCTGCTGCCCAGAAATTGTTTACATGCAACCCTGGTTGGAATGGAAGAACAGATTTTGCTGATTGTTTGCCAGATAAGAATGAAGCCTTTCATTATCATTATTATTATTATTTATAAAACAAATTATACATCCAAACACTAGAAGTTTTCTGGTACGAAAAATGTTGCTTAAAATCATTTTACAGTCCGCAAGACCATTGCATGCAATCACTTGCAGCAAGGTTAGTCTGTCTATACATATGAAATATTCCCTCTCACTTTCCTAACCTATAATTTTGGTTTTTCACCCTTCAGATCACATGGTTTTAATATCCAAGTACTACAGTGGAGTCGCGATTTAAGCCCGTATCGTCAGTCGTCCCTACAATTGTAGGGCGCGTTTATGGCCTCCTTGATTGTCATACTCCTTTCTCTCCTTCAAAAATTTCTAGATTACACTTATCCCGGGTCAGCGTCAGCGCTCTCCTATTGTGAAGATATGTTTTTTTTTAAATTGTAGGCAATTTCAGGCTGATAAAACATGATATAACTCAAAAGCAAGCACAATTTGATGCAAACAGATGTTTGTGACATAACCTCAAAATAGAGTGCTGACACGGAAAAGTAGAAAACTATGACAATCAAGGAGGCCGTAAAGGTGCCCTACAATTGTAGGGACGACTGACGATACGGGCCTTAGTGAACTCCGTTTCGAGTGAACTAACCCATAGAGTGATTACACAAATCTTATCATTGCTTCGCGATACAGTGAAAAGCGGTAAGCCCGATATAGTGAACTGCGACGCACGTCTTGTAATAATATGGTGAACTGCTAGAATCTCTGAGCAAACATGAGTGTGTGAGCCTGCTTGCTAAAAAGTATGGAATTGCCGTATCAAGCATATGTGCATTGTGCAATAAAAAAAAAGAAAAGGGCGCCGATACTAAAGAGACTATCACAAAAATGTAGTGGTTCAGAAAAAACAAGGACATTGGCAAAGGTTTCACAAAAAGCAATTGCTGAAAACTCATAATTTAATGCTATCAAAGGTTGGCAAAACAGGATCAAAAAACGTTATGGCATACGACTACTCCAAATCAGTGGCGAGAAACTGTCGCCCAGGCCTGATTTAGTCAATCTTTTCAGAGAAGCCTTAAGAAATGTTATCAAAAGGCTCGATCTGACATAAGAAAAAAATTATAATGCAGACGAGACCGGCATTTATTGGAGGTTGTTACCCAGAAAAGAGAAAGAGAAAACTGTACAAGGCAGAAAAAGCTCTAAACAACGAATGACATTTTCGGAAGAGGATGATGACAATACTACTAATATATCAAACATAGAAGACAAACTTATTTCAACAAACCAAGCTTTGCGATCTATTAATGACATTATGCAATGGTCTAAGAAAATGGTGATGTAGTAGAATACAGCAGCTTGCGTGTGTTGCATGATCTGAGAAAAAAAATAGTAGAAATCATCTTGAAGAGAAAGTTTAAACAGCCCAAAATAACGTTATTTTTCGCACAAGGTTCATAAAAATATCATGTTTTGAATTTTGTTTTCATATTTTTGTATACATTGTGACTTGTAATGTCACGTATTCCTGTTAAGGGGTGATACATTAGGTCAAAAGCAACCGATTTTGTCTTATAATGTCCTATCCAGAAGTTAACCGTTTTTGAGTTATATGATTTTTATTTTTTTTTTTATTTTTTATTCCGATTTCAGACGGTTAAATTTGAAATACACAAAAAACTACATGTTTGATTTTGAGTTTTTTGTTATCGTCGCATAGCGGACATTCCAATAGTTCATAATAAGTAATAAAATGTTGAAAACTTACAAAAGTCTTAAAATTACGCTTTTGAAATGTATGATTTTCTTATTTTTTTACTAACTTATTCTATAAAAAATGCAATTTTCTGTAAAAAATCTCCTAGTAATGAAATGTGCAAATTATGTTAATAATATCTCTATCAAACAAGCTTTCATTTGAGGTATAAAAGTTACAACTAACTCAAGTACAAAGACATAAAATTAAAAAAAGATGAGTAAAGTTGTACGAATGATAATTACGTAGGATAAATAAAAGACTTTTATTTTAATTACAGTTTTATTTAATTACATTTCCTTTAGTATTTCACAGATTCTGCTCAAATTGTAATCCCCTGTTACGAATACACGCCCGCATTCTCTTACGTAATTCACTTTTGGTAACTCTAGTTGTTAAGCGGCTGTTTATTTGGTCAGCTGCACTGATTATCCTTGTAATTAATTCATCGCGCGTTGGTACGGGCGAAACATCGTACACCAGGCTTTTCATATGTCCCCACACATAGTAATCCATCGGTGTAAGATCTGGGCTTCTTGCTGGCCAGGCAATGGGTCCGCCTCTGCCAATCCATTGATTTGGAAATTTAGAGTCTAAATACGCCCGTACTAATCTACTGTAGTGTGCAGGACAGCCGCCGTGCTGGAACCGCATATTTTGTCTCGTCGCCAATGGGACGTCTTCCATTAATGGAAACAAGTGATTTTTCAAGAACTCTTCATACACATCTTCATTTAAATTGGCGGGCAGAAAATGAGGTCCAATTAAATATCCATCAATGATGCCCATCCACACATTGACTGAAAACCAGCTCTGAGACCCCGTCGGTCTTATTTTTCGGGGGTTTAAAGCTTCTTTATCAGCCCAGTAATGAGCATTATGGTAGTTAGTGATCCCGTTCTTATCAAACTTCGATTCATCGGTCCACAGATTTTTCTTAAAATAGTCTGGATCTTCTGTATCTGTATGTAACATGTACCTGCAGAAATCTAATCGTCTTGCAGGATCGCCCTCTTCAATCACATGCACAGGCGTGTAGTGATAAGGGTATAATCTTGCAGTATGCACAGTAAACCATACTTTGTATTGTGATATACCCAACTGAGCAGCCACAATGTGCGTAGACGTAGTAGGGTCTTCCTGAAACACCCGAAGGATTTCCTCCATCTTCAGGAGGATAGACTTGGGGTCGACCAGCATCACTATGTTGCCTTTGAATACGTCCGGTTTGGCGGATGCGCCGATACACAGAGTCAAACACAGTAATATGAGGTGTTCGGCGATTCGGGAAACGTTGCCGATATTCACGGCGGGCAGCTGCAAAATCGCCGTTACAAAGTCCACAACAGAACATTATGTCTGGGTATTCTTCATTTGTAAACGTTTGCCCGTGCTCGCTATGGCGAGGTCCTGGCGGATCTTCTGCGTCTGCCATGATGATAAAGAAACCACTCCAAATGAACTGGAAAACTCGAAAATAATAATCGTGCGTAAAACGTGTGCGCGTACGCAGTAGTTGATATCAACTAAACCTAATTCTCACTCTGCGTGCGGCGATGGCGTAACTACAATGATGAATAATAACAGCTCTCTCTCTCACACTCCTCCACTAAGTCAGCTCTTCTCGCTCGCTTCCTCGTTGAGCCGATGCCATAAAACAATCATGGCATGCGAGTCCTTTGAGGACAGTAATGACTTGTTCAAACAGGTAATACAAATTCCTTAAAAATCCAGCCTCTGTGGGTGTCATTGTTGTTTCTCTGCATGTACTTCATAATTGAACGCTTAATACCTCAAATGAACGCTTGTTAGATAGAGATATTATTTACATAATTTGTCACATTTCAATACTAGGAGATTTTTTACAGAAAATTGCATTTTTTGTCGAATAAGTTAGTAAAAAAAAAGAAAATGATACATTTAAAAAGCGTAATTTTAAAAAGTTTGTAGCTTTTCAACATTTTATTACTTATTATGAACTATTGGAATGTCTGCTATGCGACGATAACAAAAAACTCAAAATCATTGTAAGTGAAATGCAAATTTTGTTCACAAGATTTAAAATGAAATTTCATTTCAGCAAGGGATACCATTGAGAAAAATAATGTGCAAGGTTTAAGCACAACATCTAAAAACTTTAATAGCAAACAACTACAATTCTATCTTATACTGGTACTAAACAGCATGCATTTCAATGCATAAATAAGCAAGAACTGTTTTCATATTTCTTGAACAAAATATTATGTAGATATCACAATAATCTGTACAGTGTATTGAACTTACTTTTCCTTTAACATATTTCTGTAGCTCCCCTTTGTGGCACAATTCCAAGACAAGATACACATAGTTTATGTCTTCGAAGCACTCATAAAGTTCCAATATAGCTGGATGTTTGAGTCTTGAATGTATTGCCACTTCTTGCTTAACTCTGTTCACCATTCCTGTGGCTTGCATAAGCTTTTTATCAATCTGAAATTTTAAAACAACATTAATTTACATGTTTAGCTATAATCTTAGCAAACCTACCATTTTTATAGCTACATCTGTATGAGTTTTCAGGCATCTTGCGTGGTAAACAGAGGCAAAACCTCCTTTTCCTAATAAATTATGGACCTCGTAGTCCTGCGAAATAGGAAAATACAGTCATTTAGCATCATTTCATTCAAAATTCGTGTTAAAGCATCTTCTAATACAAGGTAAACAATCTACTAACCTCGATCCTTTTCCCAAAGGAATGCATACTGCTGCTGTTTTTAGTAATCAGACTTTTCGGGTTACGCAAATGAGTTATTCACTGCACTCTGGAGTAGCTCATGTTATTATATTTATATTAATCGGTTTTCCTTTTGGAAGAAAATCTTTAAAATTGGGTTTATTTTCACAGCTTATTTTTCAAATAATGTCAACCGTCAAAAGCTCCGTCACATATCATTGCAAGTCATGGAACACGAATACCACTGACATAGGCCATAGCACAAGAACGGCAGGAATAGAAGCAGAAAAGTAGAGGAACCAATGTTGCACATTCCGCCATAATTCCTCCTACACTTAAGTCTAATTCGAATACGGGAAAGTCCAGATTTTCATACAAGATAATGTATAAAAAATACGCTGGCCAAGCTTCTGTGATTTCTACAAGAAGCAAAACAAGTCATGATTGAACTCACCGCAATTTATGCATTGCAAAATTTGACTTGAATCTTGAATTATCAGATTGAAAATGAGAAATTATAAAGCTGACGTTAGAAACGAGATGTCACCTTAGTTCGATCACCAAATTGCAATGGTAGACGAGTATATGAGATTTCCCTTATAGTGACGTCAAAGTAAATTTCTTCGTGATGAAACACTACTAATCAAATCCAAGCTAATAACCAAAATTTCTGTGTTATGTGCCGCGGTTATAATATGGTTCAAGATGACACACGGGTTGATGACGTCAGTTACACGAATCGCTTGAACGCGTTGGTTTTAACCGCGGTTTTGTTGCAAGTTGTTTATTTTAGAAAAGCGGGTATATAATCTCTGATTTATTTTTATTATCACTTAATAATCGGTGCTTTTTCGTCTACAACTGTATATGGAAAGTTTAAATAAGAAACCTTTCATAATATTCATGGGAGAAATGTTTTTTTCAGTTATTTTTTTTTAATGATGGAACCATGGCTTTGTAGCTATGATAACTCTCAATTCTCTAAATTTTTCCGCATGTCAAAGAAAACATTTATTGATTCAGCAGAAGTGATGAAAAAAGAAATTAGCAAAACCGTATACAGGTGGATATCATTTAGTCAGTTTATATGGCCATATTTTAATATTCTTGTGGTATATGGCTACACAGGATACGTTGTTAAGCATAGGATCTACATTTAAAGTGTCCCCAACAACCGTAATGAGTATAACTAATAAGGTGCTCCACTTTATCGTAAAACTGAAGTCAGCCTGTATCATTTTTCTCAAAAATGAAGCTGAAGTACAATAACAATATCCAATACCCGGCAAAATTCTAACTTGTCACATTTCAAATAATAACCAGAAATATAAAACTACTCTTGAGTTGGGTAAATACCACAGTTTTGCGGTGATAACTATGACATATAACAGCTGATTCGTGACGTCACGGATCTTATAACCAAACTGATAACTACACTCGCTTGAACGGATTGGTAAATACCAACCCAAAATGGTAAATACCATTTCCATTTGGTTATCCGCTTGAATTTGATTACTGTAACAGCTTTTCCGCCCACAATGGACGCTGTCAGTTACATGACCAACAAAAATGACGTCATTATGACGGTCTAATGTCATACCCTATTAACGTCATTATATGACGTCATAGTATGTCGATTAAAATACCAAATACAAAGTCTGTATGACATGGATATGTCGCCTATCTGAGGTCGATATGATGTCTATATGGCGTACAGTTGCTCGCAAAAATAATCGCTATTGACAAATTGAGGATGTGGCAACGACGCCCTACAACCAGTGAGTTCAGGAGCGGTAGAAAGGCGCCGAAACTGGTCTTCTATTGTCTTTTTCACGAATATCCATCACAGTAGAACGACAGTTGATTATTTAGTGTTATTTCAAAATTTCCCCTATCGTCAAGTGAGTCATAATTCTGACGAATCCGTCAAGGTCGGATACAGGGTTTGTCCGGAAAGTAATAGGACTCATTTTCTTCCGCCATGACTGTACTTCGAAGCGTGCGCACCGACTGGATTCGGTAGAGGGCGTTCCTAGCTAACGAATGAGCGGCTGGTCAGTTGTCTCCGAGCACTTGGAGAGTCAGGACAGGCATTTTCGCGCGACGTGTTTCTGTGAGTGGTGCAAGCCGAAAATGCAGCGTTCGTTAGAGCAGGGGTACGCGATTAAATTCTGTGTAAAACTCGGTAAATCTGCGACAGAGACGTTTGATATGATCAAGCAGGCTTACCCAGGTGTTGCTTTAGCAAGAAGTGGTGTGTTTCGGTGGCACCAGGCCGTTTTGGAGAGACGGGAAGAGGTCACTGATGAAGACCGTGCTGGAAGACCTTCGACTTCGACAAACACCGATAATGTGACTCCCGAGACAAAAAGGCAATCTTCCGAGTGGCAGACGACGGCGTCTCCTCGCCCAAAAAAGGGAAGACTAAGCAAATCCAAAGTGAAAACGATGCTCATTGTCTTTTTTGACAACAGAAGCATGAACCACCATGAATTTGTTCCTCCTGGACAAACCGTCAACGCCAAGTTTTACGTGGAAGTGCTCAGGAGACTCAAACGAAGGGTCAGTCTGGTCCGACAAGACATCGCAGCCGACTGGAAGTTGCACCACGACAACGCCCCGGCTCACACCGCCTTTCTTGTGAATAGCTACCTGACCAAGGCCGGCATCCCAACGCTTCCGCAGCCGCCCTACAGCCCAGATGTGGCCCCTCCGGACTTTTTTTGTTTCCTCGCCTGAAAAGGCCGATGAAAGGCAAGCGTTTTAAGACGACAGAGAGGATCCAAGCAGCATGCACCGCGGCTCTCAAGGCTATACTGGAGACTGCCGTCCGTGACGCCTTCAATTCAAATTTTGAAAGTTTTTAAAGAATTGTAACGATTGGCTCAATACATTTTTTTAAATCGACTCAGTCCTATTACTTTCCAGACATAGCCGTAACTCTTTTATTTATAGTTGTATTCACCATTCTTGACGGTTACATCATCAACGCCATATGAAATAAGTAAACAGATCGAGTCTCCGTACCATGGGCGGATCTTAAGCTTCAGCGCATCTGCCACTCTCTCCAGTACGCATGGGGGCCGCTGTTTTCATTCTCTTCCTGGAAACACTTTAATAAATTTAACACGAGCTGTTGGCCTTCTCCATTGATCGTATTTAAGGGCATTGCACAATTTCATATTGAAGATTGACAACAGGGCAACTTCGGTTGCACGCCGATGTCAAGTAAGTTGTCACTCTGACCAGCGTTGCCAACTTAGCGGAATATCCGCTAGATTTACCGGATTTTGTTCCATGCTCAGCGGACAAAATTTGTAATTGCGGATAGAGGATTTTTTAATGGAATAAAGAACTTTGTTTAACGGAATTTAGAAGATTATTAAACTGAGAATAAAAACAATTTGAACAGGAAATATTTTTCATACGTAAATGTAGTTAATGCACACAGTAATTATTAATTTTACTTCTATATTCTTGGCGCTCTGGACCTCTTAATATTTTTGGCAACAATGCCATAAGACCGTTTTGTGGCAACGAGCCATTCCAAGGAATCGGGGAATTACCCACATGCGGTTGTGCCCGTCTATTTTCTAGCTGTGTGCTTTATTTTATAACTGGTAAAAGGCTATCTCAGCATCTCAGGTTCAAGTGTGAGCATTTATCCCTGCCCCAAACTACTTTTACTGTTTATTTACTTTTGATTAGATTTAATGTAAATTTTTATTTTATAATACAATATTTTTTACCAATAAAGGGTATTTCTTTTGCAAATAATTTTTTTTTAGCGGATTCACATCGGATCTAGCGGATTTTGAGCACTTATTTGGCGGAAACTACTTTAAAGAGTTGGCAACGCTGACTCAGACAAATATGATTGAACGGCACTCATACGTAACGACAAAGTTTTCGAGACGGAGATGCACAAGGCTTTGAGCTTACCGAACAAACGTTAACATAGGGGTAGGTTGCATGTGTATGTATGAGGGAGATGGAGATATATAAAGAGATATTGGTAGTCTTACTTTGACCCACCAAGGACGGTGACTACAACTTATAGAAAAGTTCATTTGCATACAGAATGAAGACGCTACAAGCAAGTTTTACTAGTTTTGCACCAGATTCATTATTGCCAACGGTTACAGAATAATACAAAGATGACACTTTGTTGATCAGCTGTTCACCTTAGTAGACGTCAAAACGTGATGGATAGTATATATGTTTTGTGATGGATACTCGTGAAATAGGGTAACTTACCTACCACCCCTACCACTCTTGAACTCCCTCCTCACGAGATCCGAGACGTCGTTATCACCTCCGCAATTTTTGTACATAGTGAATGGAAGTGGTTAATAAGGAATTTAAAAACTCCGTTTGATCTCAAACACGTTAAAGTACTCCGATGGTTCAGGATTTGTAGTAATTAATCAAAATCGATTTGCTTTTTCACAGGAGGCCAAAACACTTTTTGTTTCCTAGGTGTCACCCAAGCCTTATTGACTATGAGGCAATACTGTCGACGCTACTACGAGCCCCTTCCCACTTCAGTTGGCCCAACTATTGAAATCTTAGTTTTTTCTTATCAAACACAAATAATAAAAATGTAGCAGGGTGTTATAGGTTTATTTATCACTCCCTAATCAAATTTGCAGCACAAAAATAACACATGTTGCAATTACAGCATATCAACCTATTTTCATTTCAATGCAAAATACAGAAATGGAGTTATTTGCAAAAAAAATGAAGCATTCCATGTTGACTGCCTGAAGAGAAAAGTGAATGTCCAGCATCCATTATGGTCTGGGGCAGTATGTCATCAAAAGGAGTAGGAAAACTTCATTTTATTGATGGAAATGTGGATACAAACAAATATTTGGCAATTTAGAAGAATCGTTTTTACCATGGAAGAATGTTTGTCATCAGGCCAAGATTTTGTGTATCAGCAAGATGGTGCAGCGTGCCATACCTCAAAAAAGGCTATAAAATGGATGGAAGAAAATAATGTACCACTTTTGAAATGGGTTTGTAGCAGTCCAGATCTGTCACCTATTGAAACTTTGTGGCACGAGATGAAAAAGGTTCTACGACAACATCCTGCTCGTACAATCACCGAACTGAGACAAAAGCTTCAAGAAATATGGAATTGTTTTACACCAAATTTTTGCCAAAACTTGGTTAACACTATGCCCCAAATAATTTCAGCCGTAATAAAAAATAAAGGTGATGTTACCCAATGGTAATCTTTCAATTGTTGCTTTGTTAACTTCGCGCATTTATTCGCACATTGTTTATTTGTTCTATTAGTTATAGGTCTAAGTGATTTCAAATATGTATTTTTTACGACTAGAGTGTATCTAAAATGTTTTTGAGAAAATAAATTGTTTTAGAAGTAAATAGTTTCATGTTTAGTTTATAAAGGCATATTTTGGTACAAATCTTGAAGTGGGCCAACTGAAGTGGGAAGGGGCTCGTACATTGTGCCACAACCACAATGTACCTACGTTAAAGACGACGAACCCATCGTGATATCAGTTATGCCCATAGATTTATAAAACAAAATGGCCGAACCACTGTCAAACGGCGAACACGTATGGAGCTTGGACGTCGGTCGAGCTTACCGCCAAGCACAATTGTGCTTCTTCGCTCACGATCACATACATACAATTTGAATTTTTACCTTGTTTATTGTTATACAGAGGAGTTTCTAATAAATTTGTTATTTACGGAAATATAACATGATGTAAATGGTTATTTGAAATATCAGAACATGGAATATTATTATTAGAAAAGTCATATTAACAATAATTTTTTTTGGTCAAAGAATTCCTAATACTTTTTATGAATAAAGACGTCATTTTTTATTCAATGACGTTTCCGACCAAAGGTAACCGATTAATGACGTCATTTTCGAGTCATGATGTTTACTCAAGGTGGCTCAAAATTGGTCAACACAAATAGTGAGTATGGAATATCTTTATTTTTAAGAGTAGATTCCAGGCGTTGAAAATTCATATCCTATCTATTACAACTGGTTTCTAAGCAATTTATTGTTATTTGGTTGTGGATGATTATAACTTTGCACAGAAAAAAATGTTTTGATTGAAAAGAGACGCAAATTGTACAAAAATATGTAATAAAAATTTAAACTTGCATTGAACATTGCATAATACATCACAGTTTAGTCAGTCTAAATGAGTTAGTCAGTTTATAAACTAGTGTAGGCATACAAAAATTGAGAAAACCTCACGTCTGTTCTCTCAAGTGTAAATTTTCTTCCAGAAGTTTTCTGTTTTCATCTATCATCTTGCTGATTGTATCTTTTAAGACTTGTTCATTTTCTTTATATCTTCCTAGAACGTTTTTAATAACATCATCATTTGAGTGGATATCTGAAAAAATAAGTTTTGTTTTATTTACAAAAAGGTCTATCATTCAGCGTCTTCTCGAAAATGCCGGGAAGTAAATGCTACAATTTTGAGGAATTTTTTATATTTTCTGTCCTCTTGTTCAAAAATGAGCATGAACAAATATGTGATATTAAAGTTTTTGAAATATCTTTACAAGTATGTATGTATGTATATATTTTCACATTCAAACATGTTTTTACGATTCTATAGTAGAGACCTACTACTATCAGCAATTTGACTTAAAATGACCAGAAAAAATCAAAATAGTGGTATTTGGTGTAAATTTTTACGAGTGTAAAAATCTTCCCCGATAGCACGAAATATTCATTATATATTTACTTAATATTTTTATCTTACTTAAATATTTGTTTTCTTAAACAAATATGTAATAAATATGTGTAATATCTTTTTATTAAATATTTATTCAATATCTTTTAAATATTTTAAATACAATATTTCTTTAATAATATTCATTAAATATTTACTTTTCAATCAATGGAAAATATTAAATTTCCAATATTTAGAAAATATTGATTAGATATTTTCGGCTACGGCGCATGTGCGTGTAACCTCGAGCGACCAATAGGATATAGCAAACCGGCCTGAGGCGTCCTGTTTGCCGGCATCCATTTTACCTGTGACTTTCACTATGATAGCGTGCTTCCTGTGTACCTCCAAGTGGTTCATTATTTGAGTGTTTTTTTGTGGAAAAGGGAAAAGCTTAAGTTTTTCGATAATTACATAGCATAATTTAACTGTAAACTAGTAAACATTATTGTGCCAGCTGAGTATAAAGGTATTTACAAGACCATAAATAACTAGCCTTAAAATGTAACAGTTATTTGGTATTGATGGATTTATCTGAGAATGGATACGAAAATGATGTTCATAACATCCCAAAGAAAAGACACATAATCGCAACTTGATCGAGATACATTAAAAATGCTTTTTTATCACAATTATTATTATAATTATTGTTGTCGTAGTAGGTTCAAAAATTTTAACAGTCGAATATACTATACTTTTCTCCCTTGAATTATAATATAAAATCACAAAATAGTTATGGCTAAGTTAGCACCCTTACAAAAAAGTCAAATTTCAACAAAATCAATAAGTGGTCTATTTTCAAAAACCTTTTCTCTAAAAGTTAGTCAAGGGATCAAGTTGTGCCCAAGGACATTTTTCATCAAAATATCTAAAATAGCATACCAAATTTCCTTAAAAATTAACCAAATCTTGAACTATAATAGACAGAAAATGTGGGATCCTTTTAGGTGCATTGTAGAGCTGCTTTTCAGTGACCCATTTGAGCTACTTGGAGTAACTCAGGATGCTCAGCACCAATATTGTTCCACTGCATTTTATATTCCCATAATACACTGGAAAGCAGCTTATGTATTCAATAATACTTCATGATTAGTTTCTTCTTTTTTTCAGAGGAGTGGACTTGCAAGATGCAGAAGAGGTTTAGAATGTTTTTTTAATAACATTTTTCTTGCAAATTAAACCATTATATCTAGAATGAATTTTCTTTATAAACCCAATTTTACATAAGCAGTCCTACAGGTTTTGCTAAAATAACCAATGAAAAATATTCTAAATACACTGAAAATATGTATCAGATTACCTAATGTTTAAAAATTTACGAAAAAAATTAGGTATTTCATCAAAACATAAAATTGATATTTAAAAATCTTTCCTCATATATTTTCTAAATATTTGTAAAAAATATCGCAAAAATATATGAATTATATATACTATATAAAAATATATATATTAAATATTAAAAAATCTGTCGCTACAAATATTTAACAAACATTTAATATATTTTAGTAAATATTTAATGCTATCGGGGTTTTAGCTTACAATATCCATAAAGAATCTGGAATTGAACAAACATTTTGGGAAGGTTTCATACCATCAGTTTTTCTAGAGACTGAAAAAAACTTTACATAGAAGAGAAAAAGAATCAAAAAAGGGTTCATACTGATATCCAGTCGACACTTTTCCTGAAGTTTTTGATTTTCCTTTATCAATCTCCTGATATCATGCAGATATCCTTTTTCCTTTGTCTGGTAGTATCTTTTTGTAGTTTGGAGTTCTCGTTTCAGTTCCTCTTCCCTTTGCTTTGCTTTTTGTAGCTCAGTTTTCAATCTACATATTTGATTCTCAAAGACATTTTTTCTTTCCTCATTTTTCTGTATTTTAGCTTTCAGGTCATTGTTTATACTCTAGAAATTAGATGCCATCAACTGGTGCCTATGTAGAACATAAAAGAATACTTTACCTGTATTTCTGCTCGCTTAGCAGCTATGACTCTACTTTCTGTACTAGCATTTTTAGTCTGCACCACAGTTGTTCGACATATATTTACTAAGGAATGAGCTCCATCCACAAGTAGCCTGAATTGATTTTCAAATGGTTGGGACAGATCCAATGGTGGTAAACCAAGTGAGTCAAGTTCCTAAAGGTTTTATGGTTTTCAACTATTCCATATTCAGAATATAGCTATTTTGTAGATACCTGAGAAAGCACTGCTAATGACTGATCAAAATCATCATTAGTCTGTGGAGTAGCCACGCTGTACTTTGCATCAATTTTTTGTAATGTGTCTTCGACCTCCGCTTCTACTTCATCTAAATAATACTGTACACAATCCTCTTTTGCGCCCATAACCTGAAAAAACCTAGTCAGCTATTTATACAAAAAAATGATGCAGAAAGACCCACTGTAAACACAAAAATGCAGTTTTCCAAAACCAGATCTACGAGTATATTATTCTGAAAGGATGCAGTACAAATAAAATGTACAGATATTACTTCTTCAGTTATTAGCCCTTCAGTGCTTGGTACTTGCATCCGCGCCTTCGCAGTCACAAAACATATACCTGACATATACTGAAAGCTGAAAGCACAAGTACTGCCCACAATAAGTACCGCCTTTGCGTTTAATTGTTGAAGTGTCAAAATTAACTGTCAAATGGTTGAATAGTCACTAGTACTAGACCAGTGTCGTAGCCAACACTCGGGGCTATTATGTAAAAACCTAAGAAACGTTATGATTAAAACCGACAAAATGTCAACTTGCTAGATAGTTCCGAGTGTGCAAAGCAAATAGTACATTCCGCTTTTGCTCGCTGTGAGCGTCCATCTATAGAGGAATGACTTAACGCTCATTGACCGTGCCACACGTGCCACATTATAACGCTACGATTAGAACCATACGGCAAGCTGCAAGTCAGTTCCCCAACATGCTTTGTTGGTTGCAGTATGCCGAGATAGTCTGTAATCATCTGGATGATTGTGTGTCTTGGTTCACATAACTATAAAATCAGTGATAGGTACTTGCTATGTGAGAAAATTATTACTAAATATATGCTGTCCATGAAATATATCTATTAACTGTACCAGACAGGTTATTTGTGTTGTCTTTTCTGAATCTGAAAGTTATACGTTACGATTTTTTCCATTTTTTATGCGTTTTCAAAAACGGAGAAGCATTACGGGAAATCAGTACCGCAACCGCGTTGTGTGTAACTATAGCCACATCACAGAAAAGTTAGGAATGACGCATCACATACAAAACATTTTCGCACTGCCTCACATTATCTAGACGCCATCGTAAAATAAATAGATATCTATGAAATTTAAATGACGATGTGAAAATTAAAGTAAAATGTAATACGTTTTTTACGATTCATAAATATTCCTGTATGTATTATATTTTCTCACCTGTTAGTTTTAATATACTTCACGAACCAGGGATTTTCTTTTCTAATCGCTCTCTTTTTTTAAATTCAGTGAATTTGCAAATATATTTTCCAGGTTGAATAAGGAAAAGCGGATACGCAACTAATTTTTATCTTTGCATACATCTCACGAAAGTGTATTTGAGACAAGAAACCGATGGAATTATCATCAACACAGATTATTATTCGCTCACAGCTAAAACATACAACGTACAGCTTAGACCTCCAATAGTGCCATCTCTGAAGCAGATATGTTACATCACATCAGAGCCAAGCATTGATAGCTGAAGCATTATGACAGTTAGGCAACATGTACAACTACGGAACGAGTACACAACAAGTGCTAGTAGTGCTAGTAGCTAGTGCTAAGTTGAGATGTTGTAGAAAAACCTACACAATGTCACAAAAACCTATATAATATCACTTTTCAAGATGCTTCTGCCGTTCGGCGCCGGCTCCAGAGTTTTGCGCTGCTCTCAAGCAAAAGATAAAATATGTGCCCTCGTTCTACATGTAAATGAGACTTTTGCGCTCTCCATGGCACTGTCGTCATAGGCGCCCTCAGAAATTTTTCTTAGGGGCCCACCATCGGCAAGACAGTGTAAAATAGGTACCTGCATTTTGAAGAGCGGGAGGTAGCAAAATTTTCCAAAATCCTCAAAACTGTACACAAAATTATGCTAAATATCGAAAACTGTATTCTCAGAGCGCCACGGCCCCCACTGCCTGTCAACCCCGCTGCTGGCGCCCATGGTGCGCCCCGAAGCGACTACCTAAAGTCGCGTTCTCATTAGTCAATTTTATTGATTAATACTTATGAATCTATGCCATTGAAGTGAAATAGTCTAATGTGAACATCCGTTCAACCATATTGCTCTATCGATTTGCACAGTGTGCTCAAATTTACCATGCAATTCTATGTTCAATGGAAGAGATTCATTATTATTGATAAATACGATTGACTAATGAGAAGGCGGCTTTAGGGAGGTATCGTCAGTCGTTCCTACAATTATTGTATGTCGCCTTCATGACTTCCTTGATTTTCAGTCTTTCATCTCCTTTATGCTGAGATATTTCTAGATTTCTTCTGTTCCGTTCCGTGTAGAGCGTCGGCGCTTACTATTGTCAGACTATATTTTCTCCTTGAATTGTAGGAAATTTCAGTCTATATTACAGATTATATAAATCAAAAGCATGAACAATTTGATGCAAATAGATATTTGTAGCGCAACCTCAAATTAGAGATCTGGCACGGAAGAGTAGAAAACTATGAAAGTAAGGAGGCCTATGAAGGCGTCCTTCAATAATGTAGAAACGACTGACGATACGGCCCTTAGCGCGGCTAGCCAGCCGTTCCGTTATTAATAATCAAAAGCAGGTCCGTGTATTCCTTGAGGCAAATCGTAATAAACAACGAAAAGGTCTGTTTTTTCTATATGAGGCCTCCCCTGCTTATCTGCTTTACAATGAACAAATATTCTTTCCACTCCTAGGTAACAATGCGAACAAAAATTGCCCCATCATGTAGCAGCATACTGTTTCATTTCTACTGCCGAGAACAACTATTTGAAATTTGAAATCCGTCCCTCGCGGACGACTATATAACGGTACAATCGAGCTCTCAAAGTTATGGAAAGTTTCCCAATAAATTCGGCATTTTCACGGAGTAATGTTGCTGTGCAGCATTATAAAGGGTGTAAATGTTATGATAGTCATTATTTAAATGGGTGACATAGGGGGTTAAAAAAAGCAAAAAGTTTCATATAACATGGGGGTCAAAACGGCATTTTTTTAGAGAAAAGCGACTTTAAGGTAAAATAAATCTGACAACGCCACAAAACTAGGCAAAAGGATAACTAACCACTGTTGCCGTTTGCGATCGATTGCCGGTTCAATAAGAGTGATGATGACTGACGCGCTGTTGTCAAGTGTGTTTCAAATACTCAATTTAATGAAACTTACTTTCTTAGTGACTACAAATTTTAGCTTAACTTAGAAAAACTTAATGCCATTTATTTGTTAATTACCCAATTTAAAAACGTTTTAGATTAGATTATAAAAATTAGTAAGGTTGTGGTGATTGTGGTCGATGTAAAGCACTTAAAGTTCTAAACTATAAAGCCATTTAGACAAAAATCTATTGACTTTTGGACCATCGGTCATATGAACTTTTTGACTTGTTTTGACTCCCCTATTACCCATTTCAACAATGACTACAATAACGCTTACACCCTGCATATTCTGTTCATAAAATTCAACGTAATTCAGAAAGTTGTGCTCTCCGCTAACCCTCGTCTCCGGTCGCTACGCCCTTGTTATTTTTGGCTATTGTTAAGTAGAAAATGGGGCACGGCCGATCAGCGCATCTCATGTGACCAGTCTTCCCTTTGTTGGTTGGTTATTTGTCAGGGGCACTATTTACTAGTTTCGTTACGCCTCATTTCCTATCCATTAGCTACTGAAATTTACATGACAGTTCCATTCTTCCATTCTTGTTCTCCGACATTGATTTTTATTGTCTGAGGTGGCAGCGTCATCTATGGGTCCAAGGCTAAATAAGCAGGAATGCCATATAAACTTTTTGGATTTCTTTATAATGATCAAGGGTGGTATTCGTCGATAAGATGGCCGTACTGACGTCATATATCGGGTCTATAATCGTTACCACGGAAAGGAAGGAACGATACCGGTCGTATATTCACCGCGCCCAAAGAGTTACAGTGTTGGAAAACATTAAAAAATCTCGATCAAACGGTGTATTAAATGTGCGGGGATAAAGGTTTTCCGTCGATGAGCCGTTTATAACTTCTTCATGATTAAAATTAGTGGACTAAACATTTTCTATCCATATAAACCGATGTGGTCGTGATTTTATGTGCACCGTCGGATAGCCTAGTAGAAGATAGGTTTTGTGAGGCTGCTAGGGTTTGGAACAGTAAGCATATCATTTTTTATAGGAAAATAGAACCCAGTGACTAGCATATCCATTCGTATTTTCTCCCAGGTAATCGTGGGAGGCTGTAGAGCTAAAAACAAATAATCGTTTTTTAGCAGGTGCAGAACTGTCATGGCGGCTGTCAAACAATTTTTTAATAAATGTAATATTGATGCTTCCCACGATTATTGAGCACCCTCTTGCATTCTAATTTGCTTCAAATTACTTTGTTTGTGCTTAATATCAATTCCGTAATCTCTAACTTCATTTAAAAAATGATAGATGAGAATATAGAGCCGTAGGTGTGTCCAAAAGTTCCTGAATGTAGTCCCATTCCCATTAAGAGACCGAGTTTTAATAAGTCCATCATAGAAGGCTAAATTCATATAAAACAATTTATTATTTAGAACCTACTGAAAAGGTTGACACTTTAATCACAGAGTATTTCCTTTGATTGTGAACCTTCAATGCTTGTTTTAATGTGTTTGGTTGTATGGGGTAAGGATGACAGGTGCATGTGGGGTATAGATATAGATCATTAATTCCTGCAGGTGCATGGCATACTTAGCAGTTCATAAATAGCTTTATAATGCATGAATGACTTCTTCTTATCAACTTGAGTCCTCTACATGGACTATAGATCACAAGTGTTCTTTTTTCTACATTTTTTGTCATAGAAATACAAAAACAGTGAATTCTCGAAATTAATATCTACTATAACTATACCATTCAGCAATAAAAATTAGTCTCCCAGCTTTAAACACTTTGATAGTAACCTTGTAACTGGATCAAAGATGTTCTGATTACTATTATTTCCTTTGAAAATAAGTCTTATTTCATCATTACATACTTGTAGAAGTTGTCCTTCCTTGTCTGTAGGCAGTTAGAATAGATCAAATAATAGTAGCTTCTGCTCTCAACATAATAGTGTCTTCATTATTGTGGAGAGTAAACAATAATTATTTTGAAAAGTAATATGAGATTCATAAGCTTATTTTATGAAACTATTTATTTTTAAAACTGGGTGTGTTTGTGGTAATGAAATTAGTGTAGTATATTATGAACATAACAGTTGAAAGTTCCATGATGGTGGCTGGGCTATCAAAGTAAAGCATTTTTGTAAATTTAGGGCCATATTGTCAGTCATTACTACAACTGTAGGACACCTTTATGGACTTCTTGATGTTCATAGTTTTTTTTGTCACATTTTATCTGATATTGTATTTCTTCTTACACATATGCAAGGGAATCGTACGATGATGATGTCGTAGGTTACGTCCAACTTAAATGAGACGATAAAATCCATACAGTAAAATGTAAAATATTTTCCGGACATATGCTCTAACGGCCATATCCTCAGATGTTCCTACAATTATAGGACGCCTTTATTGCCTCATTGATTTTTATAGTATTTCGTATCCTTCAGAAAGGCGCTCTATTTTGAGGTTATGTTACAAATATCTATTTGCATGAAATTGTTCATGCTTTTCATCTGTTTTATCTACCTGAAATTTCCTACAATTCAAAAAGAAAACAACTTTTCAATAGGATAGAGCTGATGCTGATATGGAACAGATTATAAATCTAGGAAGACCCCAAAATTTCTGGAGAGAAAATACTATGAAAATCAAGGAGGCCATAAAGGTGTCCTACAATTGTAGGATGCTTTTATGGCCTCCTTGATTTTCATAGTTTCTACTTTTCCGTGTCAGCGCTCTATTTTGAGGTTATGTCACAAATATCTATTTGTCAATGCTTTTGATTTATATCATGTTTTATCCGCCTGAAATTTCCTACAATTCAAAAAGAAAACGTAACTTCACAATAGGAGAGTGCTGACACTCAAACGGAGCAGGTGCAAACTAGAAATTTTTGAAGGAGAGTAAAGACTGTGACCATCAAGGATTCCGTGAAGGCGTTCTACAATTGTAGGAACGACTGACGATACGGAACTAAATCCCTCGTAACTTGATCATTAAAAGATTGTAGCGACTAGCTCTGCCACTACCGGACCAACTTCAAAAAACTGCAAAGCTTTTGCATCCTTGGCATAGTAGTAATACTGTATAAAAATTTCATTGGAATCTGAGTGCAACTTCCCAAGCTATAGGTGGTTATAAAATTAGTGGACAGACACACAAACAATTTCAGGTTTTTAAAATACTTGTTGTTTACTCTGGTAACTAATATGTGTGATCCATCTGATAAGCAGTGGTTGCAGTATCTTAAAATAACTAGGATTTTTCCCATGCATAATATAAACAATCTGTGTTGCTTCATTAATCAAACTGGAAAAAATGTTTAAATTATTACAAAACAAATAATACTTGTATAAAGTTAGGAGCTATGGTAATTGATGGTAACAGCTACAAGCAGATGCTGATCCCTGTAAGAATATCCAGCGCGAATTACAACATAGTTTGTAGGACTACTGCCCTCTTCTGCAAAAAAATTTGTTATATAAGCCAACCACAAGATAATACATATCATGTTTAAAAAAAATATATAGGCTGTTTTCCGATTGAACGTCAATATTTACGTCGATTTTTGGGTCCATTTTAAGAAGAAAATCTCAGGACAACATACGTCCTGAATGTCTGAACCTTTGAGATTCAGGGTAAAGTTTTAAATTTGGAAAGACCAAATTTACTTAAAATAAAATATTGAAATCTGTTCATTTATTAGCAAATTAGAGTACAATGCATGGTTAAATAGAAGTTATTTCTTTGCATGATTACATTGTTATATTAGTGATATTGTTGTGATATCATGCAAGGAAATTGTTTTCATGCAATCAAGTTTGCTTAGAAATGACTGTAGATTTCAAGATTTTTTATTTTAAGTAGGCAGTTGAAATTCCATTCAAATGTCATTGATGGAAATTAAAAAAATGTAGTACAACAAAAATAGCCTCTTGATATGTAATACAAGTGTGCTAAATTATATTAAACTATAAAGTGGTATTTACAGGTAATAGTAATAGATTTATTTCTGAAAACTTTACCAAAGTTGTATCTCAAAACTTGAGACATTTAGGATGTAAGTTCATATGAAGTTTTTTTCTGAAAATGGACCCAAAAATCACCTTAAATGTTGACATTCAATTAGGAACATATTGTATGTATGTAAGGTCTGCAAAAATTGAATTTGCCAATGTTGGACTACTAAACAAAGTTGTGAATTGCTTCAAAATGAACATATCTTAAAATACTCTTCAGGTTCTTGTGGGGTAAGGTTTTAACTTTAACTTAGATGCTTGAAAACATAAAAAAAAATTTTACTGGGTATGATTTTGTGTATATAATTCATTTATTCACAACTTCATTATAGTTAAAAGCAACACTTAAGTGGGAGCAGACATCTTAACATGTTGACTTTCAAGGATTCCAGTACCAGAAATAAATTTAAATCAATTGTATTATTAAAAACGTTAATTATCCGCGAAAATCAAAAGCTCGTCAATTTTGACATGTCAAACAATATTTTAAATTGCTTTAAAATAAACAAATCTTAGGAAGGTTTTTGCGTTAACAGATACTTGACAAATTCAAAGATTATCATTTTTAACCTAGTTTTTAACCATTGAGGTTTTCAGACATTAAATCGCTAATAACTCGAAAACGGTCAGAATGATCCAAAACGTAAACAGCGGAGAGAAGATAAAAAAACATGTTTGTGTAATTTGATTAAAAAAGTTGTTTAAACGAATTTAATCCGGATTTACGACCAGCTTGATTCATGTTAAGGAGCAGGAAACAGGGAAAGGTCTGTACAAATAATTGGACACCCAAAATTTGCGTTTTTCATTTTCTGTTCTATTAACTTATAGATTTGTTTTTTATTTTGAAAGAAGGCATTTTTGATATAATTCAATTTTTCACCAATGGAACGTCTGCAAACACGTTCAAATCGCGTGGGAAGCGACTGTCTCTTGAATATGTTCGGTGAGGACAACATATTTTTAGGCATTTATAAGCATGTACAAACATTTATAAACGTTTGATATCATCGTTTGCAAAAGATTTTTTGGTGAGTATACGCCTTAAGGATTTAATGTCTGAAAAACCCTAGATAAAAATGTTGTCAGGTATGTTGACTATCGATGCTGCCCACTTTACATATTATGAGTCAAAAGAAGTATCTCTACCCCCAAAATGCTGAGAAAATAAGTATGATGAAATTGATTTTTTGTGTTCTTTCCACCACAGGAGTGAATTCATGAAAGTTTTTTAGTTACTGCCATAATAATGTGTTGGTTTCAATATTCCCTCTTTCAGACCTACTGAAGAATCCAGGGTCATTAGTTTTTTTGATTTCTGAAAACTTCTAAGGTGGTTTTGTCATTGATATAGTCATAACTTTCATTCATCTCATAACCGCGTATAACTTGAGAAGTACCGCTCGGATTTCGATGAAAATTTACACAATATTTTGTGGAAAATCGGTCCAGATGCACTACCGGTAGAGTAGGGAAAGAATGTGTATTACTAATTGTATGGACCTGTTTGACTGACTTTTTTCGCAGAGGGCGTAGTTTGTGCTGATGAGGGCGTTGCGAGGAAGTGCAGAGTCAACCTACTTGACGCCATTTTTGTGCTTTCATTCATGGTAACTTGTGACAAAATGTCCGTTGAATCTGAATACTAAATACCTACTTGCTCACTTTCTGACGTAGAGATGGGTTAGCCTTTCTCCATTATTAATTTTTTGATGATTACTCCACCGCTATTGAACCGATTTTCAAAATCTACATGTCTCTATGTGTTTGCAGAAGTAGGAACCTTTTGTCAAAATTTCATTGAAATATAATCAGTACATTCAGAGACCGACGGAAATCAGTGACATGGTTTGTGGGTCATAAAAAGACAAGAAAATTCATTCTCGAATTTAAAAAAATTACCAAAATACGTAGTACAGTACTATCAGTGGCGTAGCGTGCTCCCTATAGGCGCCCTATATCAAAATTTGTATGGGGCCCCACCCAACAGTGGCAAATCTAA